GGTGTCACACAATCTGGGTGGGCTGCCTTTCTGCAATTTCATTATATGGGGGTCACATGCGAAATGGGGCCTGCATGTCGAGATTCTCGACGTTTGCGAGTGGACCCCCGGTCACTACACCCGATTGAATCACACCATCTGCGCGGTTATTTTTTACTTTTGTCGGAAAGGATCTGAGCTACCCCCTAACCACCGATACGGGGGCAGCCAGTCGCGGCTAGAGAGAATAGGGTGAGTATCGGGCTCGGCAGATCAGACAGGTCAACGAATAGGGCTGCCTAGGCGGGCGGGCCATTCTGAGGCTCTCAAGGACGTTCATGCTGTCTTGCGTGTATCTGTGGATGATCGATGGACTCTCGCAAACCGAAAATGAAACTGTGTGCGTATCCCAGTCCACTCGACTCTCATAGCATGTAGGCGCCTACACTCTTACATCCACTTCTGTCTGGAGACACAAACGAACGTTAGTGGCAGTGGCAGTGGAAGGCTTCAATCCATCGCTCTGAGGAAGGGGAGGAGAAGGGGAATGGGAGAGGGAGGGGAGGAGAGTTGGCGGCTATTCTATTCTTTCTTGATTATCTGCCTCCACACATGTGTGTATAAGTTGGCGAGTGGGGGAGTGCCGCGTGGCGCCGTGTGCGTGTCCCTGCCGCCTGTCGCTCTGTCTGTCTGTTTATGCGACACATGGATCATGTGATCAGCATCGGCATGGATACAGCCGGTAGCAAATACCTGGGGTGTGTGTGTGGGGCGTGGCGACCGTCACCTTTGTCCTTATGTCTCACTCATTTTATCTCGTGCCGCGAGTCAGTCCATTTCTGTCGGGTGTGGGTGACTTGTGCGTGAATATATATTGCAATGATATCACTGCAGCGTTGGTCTGTTCGCGTCAAGTCAAACACAAGCCATCCCACACCTGGTGTGAGTGGTGTGGTGTGTAATGCGGGGCTTTGTCCTTTCCCGAACGCCATCGCCCGACCGTCGTGGCGCCATCAGTCGCTGCTGTGACTCCCACGAAGGTCAGGAACAGCTGCTCGAGAAAAAGGCAAGCCTCGCCACGAACACTCACACGTCATTCAACAAGAGGGAAGCGAAATCCCCCGTTGAATGCATTGCAATCCGCCATCAACCAGGCTGTCTCGGTCTGTCTCATGCGTGGCTGCCGCAAATCGGCGATGGATGCAGCACCGGCTGGCAACGTCTGCCTCGTCGTGGTGTCTCACACAACGCAACAACGATTACCACCCGCCACGCCATCCAACGCCGAGAGCAGCAACTGTGTGTCACGGGGAAAGACGCAGAGGGCTTCTTGCCGCCCTGTGCGGATCGCATCTACGCAGCCCACCAAACCATCCCTCTGTGTGCAGTGCAGCCATCTGTCCATCTCTGTGTGTGTAAGTGAGAGAAAAATGATCTCTTCTCGGTAAGGCAGCTAGCAAAACAAACTCCACCGTCACGTCCCGTCACACACATGGCCAACACCACCCACCCCACCCACTGCACACATCATGCCATGCAGCCAACTGCACTCCACACAGAAAAACCGACGGCTTCTTCTCTTGGCCCGTCGCACGCATCACCAGTCACATGACACATCCATCATCCACACCATGAGCATTAGCTCGTGGACCCCCAGCCATGCCATGTATTGTATCTCTCTCTCTCTCTCTCTCACAGTGGGTGGGAAAACTTCACAGATCGTTGTTGTGTACACACATACACATACACATACCCACACACCCACACCCACATCACATGGACCCGCCCCCTGCACTCACTGCACACACGTCAGGTCACGTCACTCGGGGATGATGAATCCGTACGAGTGCATGCCCCACTGCAGGAAGTTGATGCCCAGGTAACACAGCCATATCGAGAAGAAACCCATCAGCGTCGTCCAAAACTGCGTCCTCCCCTGCACACACGCACCGCACAAACACACAGAGAAAGAGGGAGACAGTCAGGCCGGCGTGTGAGTGTGCGTGTGCGTGTGGTGCCTTCTCTCTCTCTGTGTGTGTGGTTGGCAGACGTGCTGTGCTTGTCTTGTGCTTGTGCTGACCGACCTTGAGGGAAGGGATGATGGAGGTGTGTATGTAGGCGGCGTAGATGAGCCAGACGATGAGAGCGGAGGTCTCCTTGGGATCCCACGACCAGAAGGCCCCCCACGCATCCTTGGCCCACATGCCGCCGCAAAAGATACCCAAACCGATGATCACCCAACCCAGCTGACACACACACACAACCACAACAACACAACCACCAGACACACACACATGGATGGATGGATGGATGGATGACACAGAGAGAACCTCCCTCCCTCTCCCTCTCTCTCTCTCTCTCACGTTGAGCAGTTTGTTGCCGAAGGATGTGAACCCTTCAGCATACTGCATCAGGGCCTGCTTCTCCTGCAGCTCCAGGTCGATGGCGTCCGCCTCAGTGGTCAGCACCGGATAGACAAAGTCGGTCGTCGTCCCCGTCTTGACGCCCGTCTCTGTGTCAACCTCCACACCCACACCCACACCCACGTCGACATCCACGTCGACGGCAGTCGTGGGCGGTGCTTGGACGCGCCACCGCGGAGCCGCCGCCGTCTTGATAGCCTGATCAGACAACCACAACACGTGATCTTCGTCTGCCTGTGACGTGTGTGGTGTCTGAAGCCTTACCGGCCTGTCGTCGACAGTGATCTGCATCCTCGGCGCCGTCCGTGGCGGCGACAGAGTGCGGCTCGGCCTGAGGCTCGGCGGCACAAACGCGCCAACCATCGACACAAGGGCGGCTACTGCCGCCACGCTGAGGTGGAGAGACTTCATTGCGCAAACTTTTTCCGAGCGACGAGTGCGAGCTCACTGTTGAGCGTGCAATCGCTGTGTATGTGCTTTCCTGTGAGGCTTCTAAAGGCGAAACTCGCTGTGAGAGCGAGGCTCCCCTTCCTGCGTGTTGACCCCCAGCAGCACGGCTGTGTCTCTCTTCCTGTCTAGCCCCTGGGCCCTCTGACGTCACCCTCTCATCGCTGGTTGCACTTCCCTCATCGCTTCTCGCCATGTCTGATCCGGCTCCCAACACGGCCGTCCAGTCGCAGGCCCAGGGTGCCGACGCCAGCAAGGCGAATAGGTCCTCCGGGCGCACCAACCGTGGCGAGGGCGGCTCGAGCGGCCGTGACCGCAACCGGCCTCGTACTGAGTACCAGATGGGTCAGTGATGGTGGGAGAGAGGGAGGGGCTATCTCGAGCTATCCATCTCTCTGTCTGTCTGTTGTGGATGTGGTGGGATGTGTGTGTGCAGGTAAGTTGTTGGGCAACGGGAGTTTCGGTGTGGTGATTGAGGCGACGGCCATGGACACGGGCGATACGGTGGCCATCAAGAAGGTGTTGCAGGACCCCCGATACAAAAACCGAGAGCTCGATATCATGAAGGTAAGGTACCATGACACAGATACACACATGCCTGCCAGATGCCCTCCTGCGTGGATGAATGGATGGATGGATGGATGGATGGCCTTGTGTGTTGTGTGTTGTGTGTGTGGCGTGTTGAAGGTGTTGCGTCACCCGAACGTGGTTGAGTTGAAGGACTACTACTACACGGAGGCCCCTGGCGAGCGGGAGGGCGAGAAGTTCCTGCACGTGGTGATGGAGTTCATCCCCGAGACCGCCTACCGCGTGGTGCGCTCCTACGTCCGCAACAACTCGCGCGTTCCCATGATACTGGTCAAGGTATGTGTGTATGTATCTCGCGGTGGACGTGATGTGTGCATGGGATGGATGGATGATGCACTTGAGGCCGGGAGGGGAGAGATGGGCGCATTATGGTGATGGCGGTCTCTCCCTGTGTGTGTGTGTGTGGTCTGTGTGGTTTGTGTGGTGCAGGTTTACGTTTACCAGATGTGCCGGGCGCTGGGCTACCTGCACTCACTGGGGTACCTACCCTACCCCACACCACACCACACCACACCACCAGACGGACGGACGGGCAGCCGTCGATCAGCCAGCCTCTCATGTCATGTCATCTGTGTGTGTGTGTGTGTGGTGTGAACGTGTGTGTCAGGATTTGCCACCGCGACATCAAGCCGCAGAACTTGCTCGTGGACACCCGCAGCCACGTGTTGAAGTTGTGCGACTTCGGATCCGCGAAGCGGCTCATCCCGGGTACCATAACACTCTCACACCCCCCCACCCCACACACAGACACACACACACAGGAAGGCACTCCTGACTGACGGTTTGTGTGTGTGCAGGTGAGCAGTCGGTTGCGTACATCTGCTCGCGTTACTACCGTGCTCCGGAGCTCATGCTGGGCGCCACGGAGTACACCACCGCCATAGACATCTGGAGCATCGGTACAAACCACCACACTCACTTACCCTTCCATCCATCCATCCCTCATCCATGTGTGTGTTGGTTGGTGTGTCCTGCACTGCAGGCTGTGTGTTGGGTGAGATGTTGCTGGGCCGTCCGCTGTTCGCGGGCGAGACCTCGGTGGACCAACTCGTCAAGATCATCCAGACCATGGGCACCCCCACTCGGGAGCAGATGCAGGTCGGTGTGGTGTAGGTCCATGTCATGTCGGTCACCGTGACACCCCACACACAGTGCTGTGCTGTGCTGTGGTGTGGTGTTGTCCGTTAGGCCATGAACCCCAACTACACTGAGTTCCGTTTCCCTGACGTGAAGCCCCGACCCTGGCAGAAGGTACGCACACACACACAGAGCGGGAGGGAGAGAGCGGGAGGGAGGGAGGGAGCGTGATTGGAAAGGACTAGTGCACGACACATGTGCCCGTGGTGTGATGTGGTGTGGTATGTGGTGGGTGCAGGTGTTCGGTAGTGGTGTGCCTGCCGAGGGGCTGGACCTGATCGCCAAACTGCTCAAATACGAGCCGAACGAACGCCTCAAGGCATACGACGTACGCTGCCCTCGCCACACCCACAACCCCCCCACATCAGCACCCACTCCCCCCGTGTGTGTGTGTGTGTGTGTGTCGTCAGGCGTTGTCCCACGAGTTCTTCGACGAGTTGCGGCAGGAGGGCACGCGGCTGCCCAACTCTTCGGCGATGCCCGAGCTGTTCACCCTCACGGATGACGAGCTCGAGCAGATGGCCCCCGAGCACCGGACCAAGGTCGTCCCCGACTGGTTCTCGCGCTCGTAAACGCCATACATCACCATACACACACCATCACACGCGATACGATGCACCATATTTGAGATACGGATACCGATACAGACAGGACAGGGGCGGACGTAGTTAGTGGTCAGACGGCTGGTGGTCGGTTGATTGAGTGGTTGGTTGGTTCATCGTGATAATGCGCCGATACATACGGAGATGGAAAGCTGCCACCCACCCTGGTTTTGCTTTTTGGCACATCCATCCATCCAGCTGTGAGTGTGGATGCGCGTGCGCGTGTGTGTTGTTACAGTACCAATGGGGGGCTGGGGGGGCGATCGCTATCAACGGAGATTGCATGGCTGTGCATGGCACGTGTGAGTGAGAGTGTGACTGTGGTGCGTTTATGACTGTATGGTGTGGTGTGGTGTGTGGTTTGTCAGTCAGTCTGCCTGCCTGGTTGTGCGGATGGATGGCCGTCGTGTCGATGGATCACACACACACACACACAAGCAGCTAGGGAGCCGCTGTACCATACCATACCATACGACACACCACACCACACGACAGGACACACACATCGGCTGACGCACAGACAGATCGTCGGCAAGCTAAGCTAAGCTACGCTACGCACCCGGTACACACCACACACCCACCCCCCCACTCACCACTATTCACGGCCACGTGACCTACATGCTGTTGTGTGTGTGGTACTGTGTCCTGCCTGCCTGCCTGCCTATGTGAATACACTCATTGACGGATGGCCTGTCTGTCTGTCTGGTTGTCTGTCTGTCTGTCTGTTTGGTAGAGGGAGGGGTGGGTGGAGATACAGGGAGGGAGGGAGACTGAGAGAGAGGGAGGGATACAGTAGGTAGCTGAATTGGTCTGGACGACCGACGGCCGGTTGGATGGATGGATGGATGGACACACTGAGTGAGAGAAGGGGGAGAGGGAGAGAGAGTTTTCCCACAGATCAGATCGGCTGCTAGGCAGTACAGAACAGTAACTAACCATGCGCACTCTCACGCACAACACACCACACCTGCAACATACACACACACACACACGTGGCTCGTTCCCCCTTCCCATGTTCGCACACACCGGTCCCTGCAGAGCATTGCGTGTGCCTGCCTGCCTGCTTGGTTGCCTGGCCTGGCTGCTGTTGCTGTTTTGTCGATTCTATCCTGCGCCTGTCTTTTTCCCGCCCGCCTGCCTCTCTGCGGCAACAGTGAGTGTGTGTTGATGGCGTGGCCGCGCGTGAGTATGTGGGATGGATGGAGGGATGGTTGGCTGGCTGCAAGGATGGCTGTGGCCGTGTGTGGTGTAGTGAGACAGACCCAGTGGCTGACATGACTGTCTGTCTGTCTGTTTGATGGAATGGATTGACTGACATGATTGATTGGCCGGATCGGATTTGCAAGTTGCAATGGTTCTTAAGATACCTGCCTGCCTTTATCCGCGGGGCATTCACTCACCATACTGTGATATACACCACTACTACCTGATTACCTACCTGATTGACGTAGAGTCAGGCAGACAGGCAGGCAGGCAGGCAGGCCCGTGTGCACAACGACCTGTGTGCAGCGCACACACGACACGCACACCACACCCGTCGCAAGAGCGAGATAACCTGACAGAGAGAGAGAGAGAGATCTGTGTGTGTGTGTGTCTCGTGTGTGGGTGTTGGTTGTGTTGCATGTTGCCCTGTGGCTGCCACATGGACCATGACGGCAGTACAGCACGGCAGCATGGCGGACACAGATCACGCACACGCACAGGCGGACACACCCATATAGGTAACTCAACGATGATGTGTGTGTGTGTGTGCCTGCCAGGGTAAGTGCGTCCCGTCCCGTCCGCCCTGCTCTTTGTATCTTTCTTTTGTTGAATGAATCGACCGATTCCCACGTACGTACGGTACGGCCAATGCCATTGCAATGACCAACCAGCCCCAGCTTCATTCAATCAAACCGGGTGTGACTGGTGGGGTGGGGTGGGGTGTGTTCTTTGTAATGTCTAACTAATGTGTGTGTGTAGTCAGTCTCCAATGTCCAATGGCTCCTTTGTTGTCGTTGTAAGCTAAGTTAAGCTAAGCTAAGCCAGGCCTGCCTGCCGGTGTGAACAGAGAGAGGGCGGGAGGGAGGGAGGGAGGGAGAGAGATTGGCGGACGACTGACCGGTCTCGCGTCAGGTGCATGTGTGTTGTCTGTCTGTCTGTCTGTCTGTGTGGTATCTATCGGTCTTGGTGATTTGACCGACGCACGGACGATGCAAGGGGCCATGTATAGCCATACTGTACACACCCCACCACACACACATATGATGCGCATCACTTTACACACCACACACATCACATCACATCACATCACATGCACTCTGTTGCTGCGAATGTAATTCGATAATATACTGGCTGGGTGGGTGGGTGCCTGGACCGCTGGCAAGGTGGCTGGTGGCTCGCTCTTTCTCTCTCTCTCTGTCCGCTGTGTTGATATAGCCCCCCTGCCACTGCAATGCCATCATGGGATTGCCCTGCTGCGCCATGTCTGGCCGCCCAATTGCCCGTCTGCCTGCCTGCCTGTGTGCCTGCCTGCCACTTGTGTGCCAATGATTTTTCTGGTCTGTTCATGTGATGGGGTTCATTGATTCATTCCTGGCCGGCTGGGCGCCGTGTGCGTGATGCGGTTGGTGCGGTGACTGACAATGGTTGTGACGCACTCAGTCAGCTGTGTGTTAGCTAACGCTTAATCGGTCTATCTGCTGCATTGCATTCGACCGCTCTCCAACGCCTACAGGCCAACTGCGGCGAGAGCATTAGGGTTTGTCTGGTTGTAGGGTCTGAAACCCGGATTTCGCGAGGAACACTCTTCTGGGTTTCATACCCTGCAACCCCAGAAACCCTTCGAGCAGCCTTGCGCAGTCGTAGATGATCAGCGAGGTAGCCAAGGACACATGCCCTAGGAATGCCCACTCCCATCTTCTGCTTCTTTGGTTGCCCGGCATCTCGTCTTTGAGGCATCGCCTTCCCCGCCCGCCCTCTCTCTCTCTCGCCAATCTGCCTCTCTGCAGACCTGACAGCCTCGATGCAGGACACACAGCAACAGCAGCCCAACCAGCAGCAGCATCCCATCGAGTACATCTTCGTCGGCCGCCGCAGCTTCTACCTTCTCAGCCTCGATGACATCCTGAAGCTGAGGGCCACATGCCGCTGGCTCAGAGAGCTCTTCAAAGCGCCTCAGCTTCGGCAGCGGCTCAGCCATTCGCTCAGCACACAGGCGGGGCTGCGGCGGACGGCCAACGGACAGCAGCTGCTGACCTTCGACCAGCAGCAGATGGGTGTGGGTGACCTGCTGGCGGCGCTGTGTGTGGCGGAGGCGGGCGGCTGGAGTGAGATGAGCGAGGCGGTCGAGCTGGCGGGGCAGTGCGGCAACTGCCAGCTGCCTGTGAGGCTCACTGCCGCTGATCTGCACCAATACCCAAACAAGACGGTAAGCCAACCGAGGGAGGGAGGGAGGGAGGGTGGCCTCAATCGGTGTGTGGTGTGTTGTGTGTGCAGGCGTATTTGGCCGCTCCCCGTGTGTTGGCTCAGCTCAAGATGGTCGGCCCCCACATCGACTTCGGCGGCGGCGTGACCTTCCAGCTGTTCCACCACGGCGACACACTGCGGGCCGTCAAGGATCAGGACGGCTTCGAGATCGACATCAGCCCGCCCCTCTATGCCGCCCACCTCTATCAGCAGGACCGACAGCCGCATGACCCGCCCGTCCGCAGCAGGATCGACTACCGGCTGCTCACGGGCTGGCGGCTGCTGCCGCTGGGTCCTTACGACTACTCGTCCGTGTCGTCGTTGGTCAAGAGAAACGTCCTCAACCACTTCAGAGGCACTCACCAGCTCAACAGCACTGGCCGTACACGTATCGACAGGTGAGGCGGGGCATCACTCTGTGTGGGCATTGCCACGACATATGAGTGTGCGTTATATGTGTGTCATTCATCGGTCAGGCTTGTTGACAACAACCGGCTGCTCAACCTCATGACGCATTCCCCCCACACACCAGTGGAAGGATGCACAACTACGGCATCATACCGCTTCGCTGCCGGCTTCACTTCTCATCGTCTCGTCCTGACAGACGCCGGCCAGTTGTTCGTCGCATGGATCCACATCATGGAGAGCCCCTACATGAACACCGGTCAGCCCACCAGGGCACACCAAGAGGGGACGGAGGGTGAAAAGGACACACACACACAGCACTCACTCTCATCTACTGTCCTCTCCTGTGATTGCTTTGCAGTTCTTGTCCAGGTCCGCACGGCCGAGCCGGCTGTGTCTGGTGTGGGTGCCTTCAAGGACCGCTTCCCAGTGACCACTCGGCTGGTGCGATCGGTGCTGGGGGCCGTCATCTCAGCCAGGATCTTCGATCAATAGACACCTGAGGTGTGTCCGCAACAAACACGACTGAGACGAGCAGAAGATGCGCACACACACGACGACCCCAATGATGTCTGTCGTTCCATGTGTGTGTTAGGCTGGGCGGCGGCGGTGAGAGTGAGAGGGGCACTGCTGGTCGCATAGACGGCTGCAATGGTGCGCGTGGGTTTTCTGACTGGTTAGACTCTGTCTATCTGCCACTCGATATGCGTGTGTGCATTCATCAGTGGCTGGCTGCCATGTCTGTCTGTATGTCTGTCTGTCTGTTTGGCCTCTCTCTCGCCCTCTGCCTGCGCGAATGACTGACTGACTGACTGCACCTATCGGCTGAGCGGTCGGTGGTTCTGTTGGTGTTTGCTGCACGTGGTGGCTTACGGCTGATATCTGTCTCTGTCTCTGAATGTGTAGACACGTATCACATAAATGGAACTCAAGATTTACCCGGCAGATCGATGTGACTGTCTCAGTTAGATGACCTGATGAGTAGCTAGATGTGACTGCATGGTTGTACACTCATGTCATGTACCTGGGATCAATTTATGTGGGTGAGACAGACTGTTATGATCGATGGATTTTGTCGCATTGCATGACATTCAATACCCATCAGTTCAATTCAGTTCAATCTATGGCTCGGCCGCCTGGCCGGGTGCATGCAGATTTCTACAGCTCGCCCGCCTCTTCGGCCCTGAACAGCGGCTGCGGCGAGGCGAAGAGGTGCCTGAGTGAGTGAGTGAGGCAAACAGACAGGCAAAGAGCGGCAAGACAGCGCTGGACTCATGTGAGTGAGTGTGTATGCTTGTGTGTGTGTGTGTTTGCAGTGATTTGGATGGCGTCGAGATGCCGAATGGTTCAGTCGATTCCGCGGATGAGCTCCAGCAGCGGGGGCCGGACTCATCAGCTCCTCGGACCTCTGGATGGATCATCGCCAAACTGCAAATGTACTGTACATTGGCCGAATGACTCACTCATGGGTGCCTGCCTGCTTCACAGATGGCTGTTTATTATGTCGCTGTGGCTGTGTGTCTGTATGTGTGTGTTGTGTGGTGCAGACGTGTTGCGTGCCGGACAGTGTGATTTACGAGGCGCCATCTCTCCGCATGCCTCAGTGACAAAGCCACCAGCCTTGGTGAGCAGCCGAGATCGATGCCCACTCTCGCTCTCTGTGTCGATCTGTCGTGTGTGTGGTTCAGATGAGTGGTCTGAGACAATGAGGTCGGCTGTGGCGCTTCTCGCTCACTCACGGCTACGAGTGGCGCCCCGACGGCACCACACGGACTGCTGCCAAGGAAGGCGCCCACCAGGCGTCCAAACAGAGGAGGACTCATCCCGCGGGTGAGGACATATCGTTCTCACCCACTGCAGCCGGCCGCTTCGCCTTCCTCGCCGACGCGCTGCAGCCGGCCGCGCGATTCGCCAGGGACAAACAAACGTGAGCCATCGGCAGGAGGTGCAATCCATCCATGTGTGTGGAGCATCGGATGTGTGGGTGGTAGGTTTGTGGATGAGCATCGCAGTTCTGCTCTCAGCCGCCGCGGAATGAGTTCTATGGGCCGCAGGCCGCCATGCCGGCCCCAGCTGCACTGCCAGCCAGAGAGGAGGAGCTCAATGTTTGATTGACGATCAATCAATGCGTACACGCACTGCAAGTCGATACACTCACTGGCAGTCGAACAGGCATGGACCCGCCCATTAACTAATCGCTGTGCTGACAGCCATCCATGTAAAGAAAAGTAGGGTCACTGCTCACAGCACTCTACGAGCTATTGGCTTTCACAGCTGAACATGAGTCGGCGTGTATTTGCTCACACGGAGGTAAAGGCACAGGCAATCGCGGGAACACAAGCGCACCACACGACATGAAGGACAGCACAGCCCGACACAAACCGAACAGCCTATCATACACTTGCATTCATCACTACGGCATACAAATGCACCCAAACTAAGGTAATTAGCCAACAAATAACGCGTCACTGAAACAAGAACATCAGCTGCCCTGGGTGTTCTTGACCTGACCTTGACCCGGTGAACCGGCAGCGCCCTCGCATATCTCAATGGCGTCTGCTGGGGGGCGCTCTAAGATGTAGGGGTAGTGGGGCGGCTTCGGCAGCTTACTGTCCAGATACCTGTTTGGATGGATGGACAAATGAGCACATACACAGAGAGAGAGACAAGTAAGCGCCAGCATCAAGACTTGTGCATGGGCTGGGTTGGGGCGTGAGTGCGTCTGCTTACTCCTTGAACTGTCGGCCCCGCAGAAGCTCGGCCTTCCACAGTTGCAGCCGCCGAATTTGGCAGGACATGCGGACCACCTGCACACAGCACACGTGGACATATCCCTTGTCTGCCTGTGTGCTCGTCTGCCGGGTGGGATATCTTACCGTAGCCTCGAACGCCTTTCTGTCGTCGTCCTCCAGCTCACCGCCCTCTCCGAGGCGCTCCGTTACCGTGCATAGTTCCACCTGCACACACACGCACACACACCGCGCCAAGCCAGCCACAATCAGCGGTACGTGCGTGAATTCCCTCTCCCCCATGCACCCATCCTTGCTCTGCCCTTGGTTGTGGGTACGTACGTAAGAGAGATCCGTAACGTCGAACACCCAGTCAGGAAGAGTTCCATACGCTTTGCCGATGCCCCTCAACGCCCTCAGCTGGAGAGCGGTCATCGTGGACCTCCGTACGCACCAGCTGCACCGCAGTCTCGCATAACAGGATCCCAGACAGCCTCCCATCTTCAGGAGGCCGTCAGATCTGCTTCCCCTCTTGCAAGCTCAGCTCGCAGAGCATCAGGGTTAGGGTTTGTCTGGTTGTAGGGTCTGAAACCCGGATTTCTGGCGGAGAGTCGCCATGGACTATCTGGCGATTCTAAAGTCTATCCAGAACAAGAGAGGTGGAGAACATTGCGCCGACGACACTAGACGACACACAGAGATGCATTTGCACACCGCTGCATGTGTTGACTGATGCCTGCCATGCAGGTCGTGCTTCCCCGTCAGCTGCCGCGACTGCATTCACTCTTCCCAAGGCGTACGCCATCCCGAGTGACGACTGCTCCATCTGCCGCGAAAGCCTCGCCGAGAAGACCGACATCGTTCGGCTGACGTGCAACCACTACCTCTGCTTGCGGTAGGTCCGAGAGGAAAGAGATGGGCTTTGTGGGCTGACAGGGCATGCTGTTTCGGTCGGCTGTCCTGTGCTGTGTGTTGTGTTGTGTTGTGTGTGTGCAGTGTGTGAAGCGTGAGGTGTGCGAGATACTGTCCGTCATTCAGGGCAATACTCTCGCCTCTGAGGCTGGCAGCTTCCCTTCCGGAACACGACTTCCATGTCCATCGTGCCGACAGGTACGTGTGCGTTTGTGTTGGGGAATGGACACGCACACACACACAGAGAGACAGAGAGAGACTGTCCGTTCTTCGGTTGATCAGGAGTGTGACCTCATCGAGCGCATTCGCAAGCCCGTCACCTCCCCGCTGCTGCCCGACCAGCCTGGCGGCCCGCTGCGCGATGTGGGTGTCACGGAGGCCGACGGCACCGCTGCGACATGGAAGGCCAGCTACTACTACTTCGCCGCGCTTCGTGACATGGACACTGCCGGCAGCCCTTATGGTGCCGCCGATACCGAGCTGACCATCATGGGGTGCCACATGGCCACTGCCATAGCTCGCCGGGCGATCGCCGAGCGTTTCCCCAAGACGGCTGACGCGGCCAGCCTCGAGGCTTTCAGATGGGATGGGGAGGCGGAGCGCCTGCGGGCACAGCTGCGGCAGAACGAGGCCAAGATCACTGCCTGTGCGGAAAGTCTCAAGCAGATGACGGGCGAAGAGATCAGGTGGGGGGCTGCGCTGCAGGTGCTGACAGACGTGGGAGGGAGGGAGGGATGTGTGTGTGTGTGTGTGTGTGTCTGCGTGTAGGTCAGTCAAGCCCCAGAAGCCGTGTGTATTCGCCGAGGGCAGCAACGTGTGGGTGTCTGGCCTGGTCAACCGCCCCGAGGTAAAAATGTTGACACACGTCCATCCCTCCCTGTTAGGTTTCGATGGCGGCGCGTGTGTATGCAGTACAACGGATTGGACGGCAAGGTGACGGCCATCCTGCCCTTCCACACAGACGAAAACAAGACAGACACCGTCCGGTCAGTGCACTGCTGCAGGGAATGAGCGAGGCAAAGGCGCAGAATGGCTGTGTTGTCTTGCGGTGTGCAGCCATCGTGTGGCTCTGTCTGTTGGAGGCATCGTCCTGTCGCTGCGCGGCGACACTCTCCACCCTGACCCCGGCTTGCCGACAGCACTCCAAGGGCATAAACCCTCCCGATGATGCCTAGACGCACCTCGACAGATCCCCGCCGTGTGTAAGTGTAGCATCTGCTGTCGGCCTGTGCAGAACGTGCGCATGCATTGATTTCTTTGTCTGTATATATATTGGGATTTGACGGGCAATGGACGATCGATTGAATGGATGAATGAATGAATCCACACGACGGGGATGAGGCTCAAAGGAACATTCCTCTGGGTTTCATACCCTGCAAGTTGAACGCTGCGAGCTGAAGCTTGCAGGTGTGTTGGAGTGTTGAAGCATTTCATTAGGTGAGGATGTTACAAAATGAAGGCAGCCTCCTTGTTTGTGTCGACCGAGATCTCCTCCATGTCACGACTGGTTGCAGATCTCGTTGTGCGTGTCGCTGACGGCAGTGTTCCGTGTTGGCTTATCGCTCCGGGCCATCACTGACTGACACCAGGTGAGCCAAGAAGCGGTGGACATGTGGCGGGCTCATCTTTCGATGTGTGCATGCGTTTTCGAAATGCGTGTGATGTCTGCAGGAGGGGATTCGGTGTTGTTTAAGCTGTCCCATCGCACCGCACTTGCTGCACAAGGGAGGGCTGCCGATTCATCGCCCTCACGTAAGGAACCGAGAAAGCCAGACACACGCACACGGTGTGCTGTATGGCATCGTGCGCATGCCTCTGTGTCTGTGTGTGTGTCATGTAGGCCACTCACCGATCGATGGCGTCCCAGCCCATTCAGCAGCCCATCCCTCGCCGGCCCCCTAGCCCTTCCCCCGTCCCCTCCCTGCAGGCAGCCACCATCAAGAAGGCCGCCCACATGGCCATGTCGGATGATGACTCGAAGCAAGCGGCACTCACAGCACAGATCAGCAAGTTCCCTTCCGCTGAAGGGGACACGATGCTCGAGCTCGTCCAGCAGCACATAGAGAAGGCGCTGGTCCGTCTCGGCCTGCAAGACGTCCTATCCTTCACCATCAGTGACCTCGAGAGTGCCTTCAGGGTGACCTACTTGCTGGAGCAGACGTGGGACGAGGTCGCCGACATACTGCGGCTGGCGGCGCAGTGCGGCCGGTGCACCCTGCCGGTGCGGCTGACTGCTGACGACATCGACAGACACGCCAATAAGACGGTGAGACGCACATACAGGGGCGGGAGGGCACAGAGAGGGCCTCATTCATTCTTCTCTGTGCGTGTGTGGTCGTGTAGGCGTATTTGGCCGCTCCCCGTGTGTTGGCTTAGCTCAAGATGGTCGGCCCCCACATCGACTTCGGCAACGGCGTGACCTTCTAGCTGTTCCACCACGGCACCACGCTGCGGGCCATCAAGGACCAGGACGGCTTCGAGCTGACCATCGACCCGCCCCTCCCTCCCAACCACCCCTACCAGCAGCACCGACAGCCGCACGACCCGCCCGTCCGCAGCAGGATCGACTATTCACGGTCTGCGGGCTGGCTGCAGTTTATTCGGGTCTCCTCATATGTGTCGTCGTGTGTGAAGAGCATCATCATCGGCCACTTCAGGTGGACTCACCAGATCAACTTCACTGACCGTAGCCGTGTGATCGACAGGTGAGGCCGGGCATCACTCTGTGTGAACGCTGTCACGGCACACGAGTGACTGATGAATGTGTGTGTGTCAGGTATGTTGACGACAACCGGCTGCTCAACCTGCTGACGCAGTCCCCCCACACACCAGTGGAGGGATGCACCACCACCACATCAGCCCGCTTCACTCACGGCTTTGCTTGACGTCACCTCGTCCTGACGGGCACCGGCCATCCCTTCGTCGCGTGGATCTACATCGACAGCGGTCAGCAAGGGGGAGGGAGGGTAAAAATCACACACACGCACACAACACTTACTCTCATTCGCTGTGCTCTCCTGTAATTCCTTTGCAGTGTGTGTGTTGGTCATGACGACCGAGTCGGCGGCTGTGTCTGGTGTGGGTGATGCCTTCAAGGAGCGCTTCCCGGAGACCACTCGGCTGGCGCGTGTGGTGCTGGGGGCCGTCATCTCAGCCATCCTCTTCGACCGATAGACAGCTGAGGTATGCAGCAAACATGACTGACATGAGCTGAAGATGTGCACACACACGACGAACACAATGGTGTCTGACCGTGCTTTCTGTCTTTCAGGTGTGTGTCAGGGTAGGCGGCGTTGTTGAGATTGGGGGGGCACTGCCGGCCGCATAGATGGCTTCAATGGTGTGTGCGCAAGGGGTTTCGGTGAATACGCCACTCTATACATATGTATACATTTATCAGTGGCTGGCTGCCATCTCTGTCTGTCTGTCTGTCTGTTTTGCCTCTCCCTCGCCATCTGACTGACTGACTGACTGACTGCACCGATGGGCTGGGCGGTCGGTGCTTTTGCTTGTGTTTGCTGCACGTGGTGCACCACATTCTATCCATCCATCCATCCGTGACGCATTCATTGCTTCATGCACACATCCAGACATACACACAGACACGGCGGTGTGTGTTTGACACTCGCTGCACATCCACACACACACACATGTCATCACACCAGACAGAGAGAGAGACAGACAGACCGGCTGTTCCCATGCAGTCAGTCATTTTTGCCTCCTTCTGGGTGCACGGCGGTTGATTGATGCGTGTGGGTGGGTGGTGGGTGGTGGTCCTCTGTGTGTCGTCCTGCATTCACATCTTGTTGAGCCCCTAGCTGCCTGCCACTAAGGCGTTTTTGCTGAATGTGCTCAATGTACTTACAACGGATACATATATACTGTAGCGATGTGCTCCAAACTCATGCTGTGAATGTATGTGGTGTATGGTAGCGGTATGACCTGCATGAGGTGGGTGGGGTGGGATTCACATGCGCCTGTGGTCCATCTCTGCTGCCCTGTCTGTCAGTCTGTCGATTTCTGTATGTCTTGTATGCTTATTTGTATGTCTGTACACACACACTCATACGGTGTACATACGCACATCCATGCCATGCCATGCCATGCCATGCACCCATGGCCATGGCCATGGCCCCCCTCTCTCTCTCTGCATGACATAAATGGCTGGATCGGCAATACATCGAGGGTTTAATTGGGTTTTGCTTTCTTCTGGGTGAGTTGATGCAGCTGATGCCTCTCTCTCTCTCTGCGTGTTTGTGTTTGTGTTTGTGTTTGTGTTTGTGTTTGTGTTTGTGTGTCTCATGATGATTGGACGAGAGGACAGACAACAGAGACCGAGAGGCGATGTCTGGCGCATGTGTGTAGCCATGGTTGTCTGGGTTTCATACCCTGCAACCCCACAAACCCTTTGAGATGTTGCTCCCATTAGCTATGAGTCTGTGATGCCTCCCTCACAGCATCCTCCTGCCATATATTGTCATCGGTAGGCATATGCACTGAAGTCCATCAGCGGCCAGCAATAGAACACTCAGTGACAAAGCACTGGGTGGGTGCAGTCAGAAGGGCAGGCAGGCACATCAGGCGAGGAAACAACAACAAACAAACAGCACATGCCCTCCCGGCCCTTCATGAACACCCGTGTGTGTGGCCTCCGTGTCAGATTTGATGACGGCGTGAGTGAGAGGTTTTGCAGTTGTGGCGGGCCAGCCAGCCCATTGATGACTCGTCGGTGCCAGCTGGGAGGCTGCCGCCGAAATTCAAGCAGTAAGCTGCCCTGCGAACTCAGAGCACAAGATACACACGGACCATCATCACAGAGGGTTTGTTGGTGCGCTCACCGCATTTCCTTGTGTGTGTTGTTGGCTCTTCGGTGGGTGCAGATGGGTGAGCGTGTTCTCCCGATGGACACAGACAATGACGGTGACGGCCCGGCGCCGTCCGCCAGAGGTGAGCGGTGAATGGATGGACAGCACATGCAGTGTAACCACACAATTGACTGATGGACGTGGGCGACCCGTTTGTGTGTCGTTCATTGCCTGGCGGGAATGTGACACACAGGTGGGAGTGGCGGTAGTAGCGGTGGTGACCTTCTGCAGAAGATCCGCGAGTTGCGCTCGGTGAGGTGGGGAGGGAGAAGGGGAGGGCTCCACACCGACATTGCTGCGCTGCTTTTGGCTTTCAGGAAGCCTCTAAGTTTCTGTCTGGTGTTGATCTGGCCGAGCAGATGATAGCCACACACACCGACAACGAACAGGTCGTCAGAGACCGCACGGCCGAGCTGCTGCACTCACTCACTGGTCAGCCCGTCTTTCTGCCTTTGTTGCAGGATGCTGAGATGGTGGACGGCAGCCTGTCGACCGTTCTGGAGACTCTCAGCGATACCCACTCGGCCCTCGGCAGGCAGCTGGCGCAGATCACCACTGACTGCAACACACATGTGAGAATGGATGGAATGACCAGTGACTGAGTGGCACACACAGGCCGGTCACTCCCTTTCTTGTGTGTGTCCGTCTCAGCGCATGGCTGCTGACAGCGAAGCTCACCAGTGGGGGGCGGGCGGTGCTGTGGGACCGAACGAGACCGACAACAATGCACAGCAGGGCAGAGCGGTACGCACAAATCCACACCCACACCCACAGGAGCTCATGTATCTGGGTCATTTGCTGGTCAGGTGCCTGCTGATGACGGCGGCGCCAAGAAGGGTAGACGCGTAGACCTCAGCCTTGCTGCTGCTGGTGGTGGGCACAGCGGAGGTGCGGAAAGCATCGGCTGCTGTTGGTGGACTGCATATCGTGATGACCGTCCTGTGCTGTGTGGTGCCTTCAGGTGGCTCGATTGGTGCGGGTGGTGCTGCGGCAGGGGCACAGCAGCAACAGGGGGGCGGCAGCTCACTGTCGGCAGCCCCCATGCAGCACACCCAGCAGCAGCAGCAGCACCCCTTGTGGTACGTCTGCGCCCACCGCGGCAGCGATTTTCCGCTGCGGGATGTGCTGCATCTAAGGAAGACCTGCAAATGGGCCAGAGGCCTCTTCGAAGCGCCTCAGCTGCGGCATCTGCTCACCCAATGGACAACAGACGATCAGCTCAGCATACAGGCGGGGCTGCGGCGGACGTGCAACGGACAGCAGCTGCTGACCTTCGACAACCAGCAGATGGATGTGGGTGACCTGCTGGCGGCGCTGTGTGTGACGGAGGCGGGCGGCTGGAGTGAGATGAGCGAGGCGGTTGAGCTGGCGGGGCAGTGCGGCAACTGCCAGCTGCCTGTGAGGCTCACTGCGGGCGATCTGCACCAATACCCAAACAAGACGGTAAGCCCACCGAGGGAGGGAGGCAGGGAAAAAGGATGGCTCTCAATCGGTGTGTCGTCAATGTGTTGATGTGTTGTGTGTGCAGGCGTATTTGGCCGCTCCCCGTGTGTTGGCTCAGCTCAAGATGGTCGGCCCCCACATCGACTTCGGCAACAGCGTGACCTTCCAGCTGTTCCACCACGGCGACACACTGTGGGCCGTCGACACACTGCGGGCCGTCAAGGATGAGGACGGCTTCGAGGTCACCATCAACCCGCCCCTCCCTCCCCACCACCCCTACCAGCAGCACCGACAGCTGCATGACCCGCCCGTCCGCAAGAACATCGACTATCATCCGTCCGCGGGCTGGCGGTCGCTGAGTTGGGGCGCTTAGGACCACTCGTCAGTATCCTCGTTCGTCAAGAGTATCGTCCTCAGCCACTTCCTGTGGACTCACCAGATCAACTTCACTGACCGTAGCCGTATGATCGACAGGTGAGGCCGGGCATCACTGTGTGTGAGCATTGCAACAACACACGAGTGACTAATGGATGTGTGTGTCTTGATTGGTCAGGTATGCCGACAACGGCCGGCTGGACACCATCCTGACACAGTCCCCTCACAGACCAGTGGAGGGATACACCACAACAACATCATACCGCTTTGGCGGCATTGCTTCTCGTCGTCTCGTGTTGACCGACGCCAGCCACTCGTTCGTCGCGTGGATCACCGTCGAGGAGAGCCTCAATCCCAATACTAACAATGGTCAGCCCAGCACGGCACAGCGAGGGGGAGGAAATGCGGTGCCACTCTCATTTCTGTCCTCTGCTGTTATTCGTTTGCAGTGAGGGTGTCGGTCTCCACCACCGAGTCGGCTGTGCCTGACCAGGGCGGTGCCTTCAAAGACCGCTTCCCAGTGACTTATCGGCTGGCGCGTGTAATGCTGGGGCCCGTCATCTCAGCCATGATCTTCGGCCAATAGACAGCTGAGGTGTGCACCAAACACGCCTGACACGAGCAGAAGATGCGCTCACACACGACGAGAAGTTAAAAATGGTGTCTGTCTTTCCATGTGTGTGTCAGGCTGGGCGGTGGTGGTGACAGTGGGAGGGGCACTGCCGGCCGCATAGATGGCTGCAATGGTGCACGTTGGGTTTTCCGACTGGTCAGTCTCTGTCCATCTGCCACTCGATATGCGTGTGTGCATTTATCAGTGGCTGGCTGCCATGTCTGTCTGTCTGTCTGTTTTACCTCTCCCTCGCCCTCTGACTGACTGACTGACTGACTGAATGAATGACTGAATCGATCGGCTGCGCGGTCGGTGCTTCTGTTGTGTTTGTTGCACGTGATGGCTGACGGCTGATATATGTCTCTCGTGTGTGTGTACACACAGACAGGCTGAACGGTCCACCACACTCTGTGTTTGTCCATCCATCCATCCATGTGTGACGCATTCGTTGCTCCACACACACACATAAAACACAGACACAGCGGTATGTGTTTCACACCCGCTGCCCACCCACACCATCACACCAGACAGACAGACAGACAGACAGGCTGTTCCCATGCAGTCAGTCATTTTTGCCTTCTTGTTGGTCCACGGCGGTTGATTGATGCGTGTGGGTGGTGATGGGCTGGTGGGTCGGGTTACTTTCCTTTCTCTCTCTGAGTCGTCCTGATATCATGTGGTTTGTGTGACCCAATGCATTCCACTCGGTCGCCGAGGCGTTTTGCTGACCGCTCTCATTGCCATCCGAATGGACACTGTAGCGATGCGGTCCAATCCTCCTTGCTGATGCTGTGCGGATACATGTGGTGTCGCGGTGGCGGTGTGATGGGTGACATTCAGAGAAGCCAGAAGATCGTATGTGCTCCAGATCTGTGTGAGGACACAGCCCACCGGTGGCGGTGTGTCTCGTGTCGACATGTTCTGTCCGCTGCATGAGGTGGGGTGGTCGTATGTGCTCTCGGTCGGTCGATCTCTGCTGCCTTGTCTCATGTCGGCCCCCTCTCTCTCTGTATGTGTGTACGCATTTGTATGTCATCTGTATACACCTCTATACACCTCTATACATATATGTACAGTACATATTCGTACACATATATACATCCGTCCATGGCCTCCCTCTTTAAGTATATATGGTGGGCCATCTCGGTGTTCTCGCTGACGATGCTTTGCTTTCCTCTCCCTCCCTCCGTCCCTCCCTCTCTCTCTCTTTCTTTCTTTCTCTGCATCAGTGTCTGACAAGGGTGGTGCTAACCTTTCCTTACGACTGCTCGTCTGTGTCGTCGTCTATCAAGACGATCATCCTCAGCCACTTCAGGTGGACTCACCAGATCAACAGCACTGGCCGTGATATCGACAGGTGAGGCGGGGCATTACTCTGTGTGGGCATTGTCATGACACATGAGTGTGTGTAGTGTTGATCCGTCAGGCATGTCGACAACAACCGGCTGCTCAACCTGCTGACACAGTCCCCCCACACACCAGTAGAGGGATGCACTACCACGACATCAGCCCGCTTCACTGGCGGCCTCCCTCGGCGTCGCCTCGTCCTGACCGATGCCCAGCGCCAATCGTTCGTGGCATGGATTCTCATCATGGAGAGCCCCTACATTAACAACAACGGTCAGCCCAGCCCAGTACGGCACAGCAAGGGAAAGGAAATGTGCTCCCCTTTTATTTGTTTGCAGTGCATGTGTGGGTCAAGACGACCGAGTCGGCTGTGTCTGACGAAGGCGGTGTCTTCAAGGACCGCTTCCCAGTGACTTATCGGCTGGCGCGTGTGGTGCTGGGGGCCGTCATCTCAGCCATCCTCTTCGACCAATAGACAGCTGAGGTATGTATGCATCAAACACGCCTGACACGAGCAGAAGATGCGTACACACACGACGAAGGGAATGCTGTCTGTCTTTCCATGTGTGTCAGGTTGGGCGGTGGTGGTGACAGTGGGAGGGGCACTGCCGGCCGCATAGACGGCTTCAATGATGCAGACAGTCAGTCTCTGTCTATCTGCCTGTCAATACGCGGAGTAGTCCATATGTGTGTGTGCATTGATCAGTGGCTGGCTGCCGTGTTTGTCTGTCTGTCTGTCTGGCTGTCTGTTTTGCCTCTCTCTCTCTCGCCATCCCTATGTGTGTGTGTGCCCGCAGACAGGCCGACCGATGGACCACACTCGGTGTATGTCCGTTCATCCATCCATCCATCCATCCGTGACGAATTCGTTGATCCACACACACATACCCACATACATACAGACACGGCCGTGTGTGTTTCACACTCGTTGCCCATCCACACCCACACACATGTCATCACACCAGACAGACAGACAGACAGACCGGCTGTTCCCATGCGGTCAGTCATTTTTGCCTTCTTGTGAGTGCACGGCGGTTGATTGATGCCTGTGGGTGGGCGGTGGCTGGTGGTTCTGTGCGTGTCGTCCTGCATTCACATCTTGTTGAGCCCCTAGCTGCCTGCCACTGAGGCGTTTCTGCTGAATGCTGTCATGTACTTACCCGGAATGCATCTATACTGTGAATGTATGTATATGTGGTGCGTGGTAGTCGTGTGACCTGCATGTGGTGGGTGGGGTGGGATTGAATCTCACCTCGCCTTCTCCCCTCTTGCGGACGTACAAAAGTATTCGTATGTCTTCTGTACACACCTATGTACATACATAGGTATATACCTAGGTAACGTACACACATACACTTATACATATGTATACAGACACGTCTAAGCCATTCACCCATGAGTGTTGGTTGCCCGTCTCGTCTGCATGAGTTTGTGATGCACACATTCATGGCCGGGCTGGGCCGGGCCATGTCGATCGTGTGGCTGACGATGGTATGTATGATTGGCTGCGTCGGCAGTGTATCGATTGGATGGTCGATCGACATGCGTCTGATGATTGACGCGTCTGACCGACGTGTGTGTGTGTGTGTGCTTTGTCCCCCTTCAAGTTGGATGCTTCCATATGAAGGAGCAATAGCAAGCAAGAGACCGGCGCGCAAATCGATGCATCGCATTGCTGTCCACCCATTCATTCATGGAAGTCATCACAGACAGCACCCACGACGCGTTCAGAGAGAGAAAGAGACACCAAAAAATCTACACAAGTCTTCACTTCTGTCGCTCTACAAGAACAACACACAAACACGAACAAGACAAAACGCGTCACTCATCAGACTGTCACTCAGTCGACATACCTCCACTCGATGCAGACAGGGAGTGATTGAGTGATCACGCCACTCGCTGTTCCCAACTGCGGGCGTGAGGGACGAAGAGTTGTCTTGCTCATTCGTTTGCACACAAAGACATCCACCCACCCCTGCACATACGACACACACACGGAACTCCCTCCTGACTCTCTTTCTCTGTCTGCCGTCTTACCATTCGTACTCGACTCCCTTGCTCGTTATCAATCGCTGCGGGTGCGGCTCAGCCCCAAACTCTCCCTGTACTCCTCAATCTCCCTCTTGACCTTGTTCGTGTGATACCTTTTCCTTCTTGCAATGGCCAGCCAGGTCAGGCCGCCACCGACGATGGCGAGCACGGTGAACACCCTCCAGTCCTCGAGACCCATCGCCTCGAACAGCTTGTCGGATGCATAGAGAATGCTCTCGCTGAGGGTATAGGGAGGCGTTCGAGTGGGCATCTCGGGAGGCTGACTGTCGCTCGTGCTGCTGCTGCCACTGCTGCTGATGATGATGGAGGCTGCCGGACGAGTCTTCTGGCGCTTCAGCTGATCCAGGGACTCGCGCGTTTCCCTCAGCTGCTCCTCCAGTGCCCTGATACGTCTCTCATGGTCCGTCCGAGCGTCCTCTTGTGAGCGGCGACCGTTGTCCTTGACCTTCTGGAACTCCTCGGTGGAAGAAGCCTTATGGCTGGTGCTCACATGGCGGCGATGGAAGGTGTTGAAAGTGCTGGAGGGTGGCTCGAAGATACGCCCTGGCCGGACGACAGGCAGCAAGCGACGGACGAACATCCTTCTCATCTAGCTCACAGCGGGGACACGTGTCAGCACGCTGCATACACACACCCGAGCAAACCGACACAGCAATGGAACGTCCAAATCCTGATGCAGGTTCGCATCGCTTGGTTGCTCACCTTCTATCAAATCAGCCGCCGGATCTTTCCACAGACGTCCCTTCCGTCCTGTTGCGCACTGATATGCTGCTGACGAGCCGAAGGCGTCGAAATTGCCGCTGGACAGAAGAGAAGAAGAACGGTCCAGCCAGATGCACAGATGCACCTCGACCAGGCGTCATTTGCCAATTCAGCTCGTGGTCTATCTGGAAACGAATGTCGCTCGACGATCGCTTTCTAGCTCGCGTGGGGGCGTCTCAGACTGTCGTCTGTTGTTTCTGCATCTGAGTCTCAGAGCGCCGCTACGGTAGATAAATCGAGTTTTGTCGGTTTACTTTCCTTGTCGGTTGTCGGCACGGGAAGCAGAGGATGGGCAAGAAGGGCACCAGGGCCTCCAACAAGGTGAGCGCCGTCAGGAATGGCTATGCATGCGAAGCTCAAGGCCGTCTGCAATGCCCAAGTGCATCCCTGCCATCGTGTTGCGTTCGCTTGTTCGTTCAGGCTGCCGATGAGCCGCAGCGGAGGCACACGATGACCCTGCGCGCCTCCACCGTCGCGAAGACGGAGGCCCAAGGCGCCACTGCAAAGGACAAGAAGAACCACAAGGGCAGGACGGGGGCGAAGGGGCTGGGTGAGGGGGCGGATGTGGGGATGAAGGGGATGGCCAAGGACAACGAGAGTGTGTCGGGCAAGGAAGTTGGTGGACCGAGGGTGACCATGTAAGCAACATGCAGAGAGAAAAGGAGAGAAATAAAGGATTATACAAATAGAGAGTCAGGGAGAGAGCGGGACAGAGACACGTGCATTACAAACAAGATACATCGATCAGCGTATGGCACGCTTGACAAAGAATTTCGTTCCCTGCTGCATCTGTGGGTGTACGTCAGGCTGGTGCCACCGTTTGAGTTGGAGAAGGGCATGCCGCTGGTGGACGAGCAAACCATCCAAAGGTAGGCACATACACAGAGACGACCAAGGCAAAACACGGATACACTAACATACTTCAATATGATGCCTGCCGGTTCAGGACTCGACCGGGTCGCACCATGGCCAAGAGACCCATCGGCGGTACTGCTGAGTCGAACATCGCAGAGCCTGTTGTGCCCAAGAAGACGAACAACGGTAGGGCCGCCGGGCTGTCAGAGACTATCATGGCTCTGGAGGCCTCCTTCGCCGGCGAGGGGGAAAGTCTGCGTGGTGTGGTTGGCCTGAAAGACATGGCTGTGAGTGGGGATGCGGGATACGGGCAACCGAATCTGAACAAGTAAGGAGGAAAGAGACACGGGCACAGAAAGACATACATAATCGATAGATGCTTCCACCCATGTGTCTCTGGGTCTGTCCCTGTGCTGTCTGTCTGTTTGCCTTCAGGTGTGCGTCACTGGGTGTCAATGAGGCTCCCCAGCCCGTCACGCCCCCACCCGCCTCGCCCCGCAAACAGCCCCGCAGCCCCGACAGCAAATCGCCAGCACACAAGTGCGACAATGACGACACCGAGAAGTGGAGCCGCCTCGCCGCACCGGATGGGATTCCGCTCCCACCCGTCGGCCATGGTAGCGAGAAACGACCGGGGGACTATGTGGTCAAGGAGCTGGCTTGTCGCGAGCAGCCACCCTTTCCAGTGGCTGAGGAGGCCAATGGCGGCATGAAGTTCGATCAGGGGTATAAACGTGGACACCCACACAGATCAATCAGCACGGAATACATGGTGTCCTTCTTCTCTAGACGCAAGAGAAAGGCGTCTCTGGCCAGGGCACTCAAGGACGGCACGGTGCGGGCCATCAACATGACCCTGCCGAAGACCGAAGCGCCACACAAGACCACGATCAGGTGGGCATTTTCACAAAGATGCTTACATCCACACAGCCAGCGATGCATTCTGTCATTCATTGCCCATCGTTTCCACCGCGCAGCGATGAGCAGCCCGGTGTGTCGTCGTCGGCCATCGGTGCGCCTGTTGGCTGTCGGCATCTGCTGTCATCGCCGCCGCCCCCTCCGCCCGAGGCCATCGAAAAAGGGTAGGCCGAGACACACACGCATGTGCAAGCACCAGTCAGGGTGAATGAGTGTCTTTCTGGCCTTCGTCATCTCGGTTTAGACGCAACAAGAAGAGATCTCTTGCTAAAGGACTCAGGAAAGGCACAGTGCATGCCATTCACATGCCCTTGCCAAACACTCACACGGCCCACAACACCGCCACCAGGTCGGTATCTGCACAGGAAGACATGGAATGATGCACACAGCCACTCAGGCATTCCGTCTTTGCCGATCTAACAGGGACGAGCAGCCCCGGTTGTCGGCTCCAACTGGTTTCCGCAATCGCAGCAATCGCAAGCAGCTCGGCCTGTCATCGCCGCCGCCCCCCATTCCCGAGCCCCACCCCAAGAAGCAGCCGCAGCAGCAGCAGCAGCAGCAGCCGGTCGAAGCAACCACGACACACGCCATGGCAACACGCAGCGGCAAGCGTGGCCGCAGCACCTCCGGCCGCTCTCCCACACCCAACCCAGCACCGCACAAATCGACCAACTTTGCAACCAACGAGGCCACTCAGGCGGCGACCCGCAGCGAGGCCAGCAAGGGCAGCTCTAAGGACAAGATGCCTGCCTTCCCGCGCCTGCCGGAGGAGGTCCTGTGGTGGCCATCCATGACGCAGGAGGGCGGGGTGCGTGTGCAGATTAACGAGAGGGCGGCGAAGGCAGCCAAGACAGTCAAAAAGCGCCACGGCCAGAACAACAAGAACAAGAAGGAGACGATCACATGGGCGACGCCCGGCTTGCACGCCATGCGCGAGGAGCGGATAGAGACCGCCATGGCCCGCCTGTCTGACACAGAGATCAGCAGAGACCTCTGTCTCCTCCGCGGGCTAGCGGGAGAGACACGGGCGGAATCGGTGGCACACCGGGAGACACTGGCGATGATGGACATCGAAGGCGGAGGGGGTGCGATGCCGATGGAGGTGGAAGAGGTGGCGGAGTGGATGAATGGGGTGGGGAAGTGGGGGCGCCTGGCTATCGTCATGTCGTGAGGTGGTGGATGGACGCTGAAACGGGTCGTGGATGGTTCGTGAGAGTGATGGTTGTGTACACGATGCGTGAGAGAGAGAGAGAGAGAGAGAGGGAGAGGCCCTGCCGGCCTGGCTGCCTGTGTACACTAGAGCCAGCCAAGTCAGCCTGGCTGCCCGAGATGAGACACACGGCGAGACATCCATGCTACGTGATGGAACGGCACCCCATACATCAGTCGACCGACTTGGATCGTCAGATACGGTTGATGTGTACAAATCGATCCAAGCGGTCCATCGATCGGTCTCATCCGCACATCAAACGTCCAGCCACATACGTTGCTAACACATCAGCTGCAGCATCAGACATATGTCTGGGTCCGCCGCGCCGAGCAATTGCAAGCAAGGCAGCCGCCATCAATACGAACACACACATCGCAGCTATGCTATGCAGCACATAAGAGTCGTCAGCTAAGAAGGCCCCACTGCCCCTCCGCTATGAATGACCCACCACACACAATAGCCGGCCTGACAGACCACCATCAACACACACAGAGGTCACACGTGAACACGGTCACACAATCAGCCCCTACGAGTGCCGTTCCCTCACCTCAGGCATTGCGAACTGCAGTTATTGTCAGCCAAGTGTTGTTGAATATGCGTGTAATAATGAAGCCGTCGATGTTGGTGCCCACAGCGACGGAGGTCTCGACGGAAGCACGCTGATCAGCTGTCGTGGCGGCGACCTCCAGCCTCACACGCCGGAGGCCCCTGATGTGCGAGATCACAGACGAGAGGCGGGTGCGGACGAAGCTGCCGGCATCCTCCACACCATTGGGCACTGAAGGGGAGGGAACACACACAAGGCAGCAATGAGGACGGACACTAATGCCCTCATCTCCCTCTCGGCGTACGTGTCAGGGTGAATTCCAGTTCTCTGATCGTCGGCAATCCATCGGCCGCCCCAACCAGCTGGTCGACGTCTACCTGCCTCATTTCCACCGTACCCACCTCTCTCTCACTCCCCAAAGCCGTTAACACGCCCACCTTCTCCTCACCACTCGACAGGTATCCGATGACCACCCTCTCGATCTTCCTTGGCATCTTGGTGGCGAATAGCCGGGCGGCAGCACCACGCAATTTGCTCTGGACACACAGGAACGTGAGCACCTCTGAGAATTTCGGCAACGGCTGCATGTGGGTGATGATGGCGGGGTGGGGCGAGGGGGTGTTGGCCGGGGGGTCGAAGCCAGGGGCATAGCCAGCTGCCACCGCATAGGCCTGACGGAATGAGAGGCTGGATACGATGTCGATGGCCGATTGGCTGGGGCTGCCGAGGTTGTCGATGAGGTCCTGCTGAGAGAGGATGTACTTCACCCACTGGGCCTGCCGTGCCAGCTGCTGGAGCATGGTCTTGAGTGAGGGTGAGGGGCGGGTGGGAAAGTCGGTGTCGTAGAACATGGAGAGGTCGAAGTCGAAACGGCTGGTGGTGGTGACTTCAAGTATGAGTTCGGCGTCCAGTCGCCAGCACGTGCCGACGAGCCGATCCAGGGCCAGCAGCGAGGGGAGTGTGTGGCGGTCGATGCGTGCGGCACCAAACTCCACGTGCAGCTGCTTGAGTGACCGTCGACAACCACGCGCAACGAGCGCTTCCTGAAGGCAAGAACACACATACAGGAAGGACATCATGAGCCAATCCACGGGCCCTGCCGTCCTGCCCTTTGTGGTCACCTGAAGCCGGTTGAGGCCGGCCAGATCGTCGCCTTCGACCAGGATAGTGCCGATTTCCTCAAGCTGTGCGAGTGGCCCTCCTTGCTGCCCAGCCGGTGTCGCAGGGATGTCCTCAAACACATCCGCCCACTCCTCACCGACAAACGTCCCGTCCACACACCACAGGGAGCGGGACGAGCTGATGAGTTGGCTCAATCTGTCGGCGTCCCACCCCTCCTGCCGCACGACGGCGAGTGATGGCACCAGCCAGCCCCGCTCGGCCAGCTCCTCATGGTCGTCTCGCAGGCCGGCAATGGTGGTGAGTGCGTGGAGGGTCGGGGGCGGGTCGAGAGGGGCTGGGAGGGATGGGTGAGTCCTCGCGACCGTCTGCCTCGCCGTGCCGATCAGCCGAACGCCTCTTTTGACAGCGATGATGTGCAGTGTCCCTCCGGTGAGGTTGGCTGCCCGTCGGCCGGCAGTGTGGCCCTCGATGATGGCCACAAAGACGTCGAAACACCAGAGGCGGAACCCGTCAGGGTACCGGAGGGTGATGGTTGTGAGTCGGGTGAGTCGGGCGGCCAGCTGGGTGACGAAGGCGAGATGGACGTGCTGCCAAAACGACCGCTCCTCCCTGGTTGCCGAGCTGATGGTGACGTCTGAGAGGTCGGGCGCGGCGTGCTGCCAGATGGACTTGGCCAGCTGCACCATAAGGTTGACGGGAAGGAAGGCCATCATGTAGCTGAGAAGGCCCTCCTGAAGTACAGCAACACAGCAGATGGGACGGCAGAGGATATCCATCAGTGTGTATGCCCTCAGTGCGTCGGTGGCTGGCTCACCGTGTCAGTGATTTGTTGCCGAAGGTTTCGCTCCCTCTCCTCCCGTCGCTGGCGCTCCTCGTCACTCTCAACACCACCACCAGCAGACGAAGACGAAGCCGCAGCCGGCGCGTCCTCACTGTGACGGGTCCTCTTGCGCTGCACCCACGCCCCGACCACACACAGCAAACACCCGTTCGGTGACCTGAGCTGTTCATGGCAAAAAGTGCTGTGATGCGCCTCACCTGTCTACCGCCCCCCTCCATAGCTGTAGATCTGATTCAGCGGCTGGTCTCTGTCGTCCGGTGCGATGAGAAGTCTTCGATGCCTTCTCTGAAGCCGCAGCTAATAAGCGATGCTCAGGGTCCTCCCTGTGTGCGCACAAACACACAGCACATGAGGGCGGCGCCGATGGGCCATGCGAATTGGCCTTTTCCTTCACTCTGCCTGGCGCACCTCAGGAAGGACAAACGCGACGATTCTTTTCAGCTCATCGACACGACAGTGACTCAGACCTGCACACAGACAAGGAAGGACGCTAAAACACAGTGTCACAGCCGCTGTGAATGATGTGTGTGAATGAATTGCTTTGCTTGTGGGAGGCAGGCGACCTACCGATCTAACTCAAGGAAGCAAATCAGCCTTTGTTTGCTTAGTGCCTTTCGTGTGGGGGCCTGCGATCTGGTGGTGGGGTAGTTCATACCCTGAAACCCCAGAAAACCCTATAAATCAGCGCTCATCAATTTGACGGAATAGACTCATTGCAGAGGCGTGATTGCTGCCGCCTTTGCTGTTTGGGGTCACCTGTGGCTGGCTTTTCATCGCCAGACTCCGGAGCGATTCCAGGCGTGGCACTAACCAGGTGAGTGGCGCGGGAGGGCTACTCGAGGGCTCCCAGGCAGAGGGCGACATACGTCGAGCACAGAAATGAGAATTCAGACCGAGGAACGGCCCTTTCACAATGCTTTCCGCCGCCTGATCTGGTTGGTTTTGTGGCTGCATGGGATGGTGCAGGCTTGTTCGCCGTTCATGCGGACCGTTGATAGCGGCATATGATCGGCGCCATGGATACAGCTCAGGTGGGTGGCGGACTGACGGGCAAGAGAAGCCAGCAGCTTCCATCCAACGGCTGTGGTGTCATGTTGTGTGTTGTGTGTTGTGTTCAGTTGAAGGATCAGGCGGCGCGTGTGGAGCAAGGCCTGGACCAGCTGCGGCAGCTTCACTCGGAGGTATGCTGTGATGAACGCACCTGACAGGCCCAGCGCCACACCCTCTCGCTGTGTTTGTTGTTCCTCTCTGCATCAGGTTGGTGCTCATCTGTCGAAGATCAAGCGGCTGGACCCTGCCAATCACCCTGCCGAGGTACACGCAGAGTCCGCACCAGGCAGCAGGTCACGGCACATTGTTTGGTGCCCTTCGGTGGTCTTGCAGGCATCGTCCCATGAGTCGCTGCTGGTGCCCACTCAGCTGTCCCTTCTGGAGTCTTATGTCAAAGCCGCCGTCACTCAGCTGTCGTCTGTCGAGTCGGGCCTCTCGGGAGCCGTGGATGCTCTGACGGCCGCCGCCACGCCGCCACCAGCCAATAGCTCGGCAGCTGCAGAGACCGACCAACAGCCACAGGTGCACATCATCCACCCAAAAGAGTCAGAATAGAGCACTGTGTCCATTCCGCCGCATGTGTTGGTCACAGGCGCGGCGGCCATCGTATCGTCTGGTCAAGGAGAGCGGCTGTCCACCCGAATTAGAAGAACCGGTGAGAATGACACCACGATAGACCTGATACATCAAACCCACCTTAACGTATGAATGCCTTCTCTCTTTGCCCTCAGGCCCGTCGCCGTCTGTCGTGTGATGATCTCTTCAACGTGTTCGGCCACCTGCAGCCCTGGGAGCTGACGCGCTACCGCCGGCCCCTCGGCAGGCGCCTCTTCACCCAGTCGGCCGCCAGCTACGCCAAGCTGGTCATCGACTGTGAGGACGACACGGCGAGGCCCATGTGGGCGGCCATGCCACTGGCCGTGGCGCAGAGGTGGGGGAAGAGGGCGACTAACATCAGAGAGATCAAGCGCCGGCGCCCCGTGGGTCGAGAGGCTTGGTGTCGCGGGACGTGGGTGGCGCTGGTAGAAGGCCACGCCAGCGGCCGAGCGGCCATGGCAGCCAAACAGAAGCGCGAGAGGGAGGGGACAGCTGCGGCAGCTGCGGCACGGCAAGCTGACGGCTGCGGGCAGTCGGCTGACGACGGCACATTGGAGGTGCTGTCATTCGAGGCCGTCTGGCCCTACGAAAGCAATCTCTTCCCCGACCCTCTCCCCTCATCTGACCTGCCCCCCGCCCCCACCTCCCCCATCCACCTGCCGGCACTCAAGACCGTCAACAACATCCCCCTCGAGTGCATCTCGGCTCGCGCAGACCGCCAGTGGCGCACCCCTGCCGTCACGACGCTCAGCGTCGGGACCGATTTGGGTCAGTCATCGTATGGCCTGAAGGAGTGGAAGGGCCTGAATGTGTGGGTTGGCGGCTGTGAGGCCATTGAGGTGCTTGACCTCAAGAACATCTACTTCGCAAGCGCGGCCGGTCTGCTGAGCGCGCTGCCCGCCGACGGCAAGTCGCTGGCGGCGCTGCGCACACTGCGAGGTGTGTCTATGCATGAGGTCGTGCGGGTGGATACCAACGGGAGCGGGATCGACATGCTGCGTGACGTGATGGTGGCGAGAGGCGCCAAGCGGTCCGTTTGCGAGGTCAAGATCACCGTGAGGTGTATGCCGAGTCTTAACGGTGCTGTGACGTGGTCAGGAAGCGCTGCCCGGCTCATGTAAGGATGCAGAAAGAGAGAGGGGGCAGCACATGATTGTGCTTCGTGTACTATCAGTGAGGCCGTTGCGGCTCCCGAGGTAGTCTGGGAGGAGGTCTTCGCGCTCAACGACGACGGCACATCTGGACGCATTGACGCGGAGCTCCTCTCGCTCAGCCAGATTGCGCCCAGCCGCAGCACCGGCACTCCCGCTGCCCAGAAGCTCATCGGCGGCTTCGTTAAGACTGCCGGCACTGTGACTTACAGCGGGCGTGACGAGAGCATCCCCGCGGCCATCACGGACGACGCATTCGCCGCCGCCCACACCCTACGGCTGGTCGGTGGTGCACTCGCCAAGAAGACGCGCGCAGTGGAGGTCGCCTCCGGCATGCCCAGCCTGTCGCACATCGACGCATCAGCGATTGCACCTGTTCGTGAGGTGTGGCAGTACCTGGAGCGGCTGCAGACGGCGTGGGAGAGCAGGGGGCGGGGAGAGAGGAGCCTGTCGTCAGTGTGTGTCAGCCTATCGGCCGACGCACTCACCTTCACGGACCCCCAGCACCGCGACCACCCCTGTCTGTGGCACCGTGACACCACGAAGCTGCCGCCGATCGAGGAAGTGCATGTTGACGTGAAGAGTAAGGAGGGGGAAACGGAAATAAGTGGGAGAGCTATTCGGCGTGGCGTCTGTGTGTATGGTGCTTCTGTCTGTCTGTCTGTCTGTCTGTTCGTTTGTTTCAGACACGGTAGCGGATGACCAGTTCGAGGCATTCTACAGCAGCATGATGACCGCTGTGACCTCATTCAGCGACAAGCTCAAGGTGCCCGACACACGCCAAACATCCCTTACACAGACAGACAGACAGACAGACAGACAGATGGCCACTGGGCAATCTGCTTTACGTCTCTCTGGTCGCGTCGCCAGGGCCACAAGAGGACTCAGATCAAGATGACTTTCGGGTCGCCTCGTCGCGTTGAGCAGCCTTTCCTGGCGCAGCTGGTCGGCACCGGTCTGTGCAAGGTCAGCATGCTCGTCAGCACCCTGTCTGTCGAGCGCGGCACACCGGGTGAGAGACGGGCAGACCATCCCCAGCTGCACCCACTCAATAAACGCGCGTCGCCTCCCTGTCTCTCTGTTGCCTGTCGTGTGTTTCAGACACGTGAGTCTGGTCGGCGTGCGGCTGATGTAGCTCGGCTGGCGGCAGACAATGGATGGATGGATGGACAATACATGGATGGAATACATGGGTAGAGCTCACACAGACATGGGTGTGTATCCCTGCAGGACCCACTTGTTCAATTCGTGACGATGATGACCAGATCGTCACGCACCCATCCATCCAGCCATCCATCCATTGCACATACCTGTGTTGAGCGTGCAATGAGCGCCAGACGCGAACGCCAGCCAGCTGCCGTGTGGGGCATGATGTCAGACTTATACTGGCTGCATTCATTACTGCACGCACGGAGAGAGAGGTTGGTTCTTACGAGAGATGCAGTGTGTAGTGGGCCGGTGAGGTTAGGACAGTCCGTCCGTCCGTCAGTCAGTCGGTCCGTCAGCATGCACGCACATGTCAGCTGTTTATCCAGATACGACGTGTGCACGTGTGAATGTCGGCTACAGCAGACATACAAACAACCCGGACACTCCTAGCCAATCCGATCTTGGCCAGCAGAACGGCGCCGATTTTCCCAGCGATTTTGCGTTTTTTCTTTTCCTTGAGCGGCTTCCGCGTACCATCGCAAGAGTAGAAATGGAGTCGGTGGAGACCACGACGCAGCACCCGGCTGAGCAGCGCCCTCTGTCCGAGTCGCCCCAGGGCGCATTGGTCAACGCGTCGGCGTCGGCGTTGCTGGATTCCATCGGCACGGAGGAGGGCTACAACCAGATGGTGGCCGAACGAGGTCTTCAAGCCGTGGAGGCCGAGATCTCTGCCGTCATGACCCAGATCTCCACCAGCATCGCCACAACTCCCGACAGCACTTCGCAGCTGCTGCGGCCACTCGTCCAGCTGGTTTCCCTCAGGCATGTGCCGTGCATCACCCAGAAGGCCATCGATGCAGGCATCCTGCCGATGCTGGTGGAGCGGCTGGGCGACGACCACCTCCCCGACCATCAGCAACAGGCGGCATCCGCACTGGACAACATCGCATCCGGCAATACAAACGGCCCGCCTACACCTAGCGTCGGGCCAGAGATGCAGGCCGTCATCGACGCCGGTGCCGTCCCGCCCCTCGTGGAGCTGGTGTCGTCACTCGATGACGGCGTGTGTGTGGCGGCCATGAAGACACTGGTCAATCTCGCCAGACCAACACTCCTGGGCCAGGAGCGCGGCGACATGCTGCAGCTGGGCGTCCTCGCACGACTGCAGACGACGATGCGCGAGAGGACGGCCTTCGAGGTGCTCAAGGGCGGTGCAGACCTGCTGTATTACCTGTGCTTCTGGAACCCCGACCCACCCGCATTCGACAAGATCGGGCCCTTCGTGCCCGTCTTGGCCAACATCATCTGCACCCACACGCCCGACCAAGAGGGCTGCCTCCTGTATGGAGCCATGTCGGCGCTGGCGGCCATCAGTGACGGCAGGGACGATGATGAGCATCGCGATGCCGTGGTGGCGACCGGGGTGTGTGAGCGGCTGGTGGAGCTGGCGGCGGGGGAGTGGGTTATGTGTGGAATGCTAGAGAACGCATTAACTGTGCTAGACAACATTGCACAAGGTCAGTTGCCCTGACGCGGAGAGGTGGCGCTGTTTGTCAGTCAACTCTTGGTTGTGTGTTGATGCAGGTACCGATGCCCATCGTGACGTGCTGGCTGAGTGTGGTGTCATCCCGCGGCTCAGCCAGCTGCTGCAGCCACCGGCGACCAACGAGATCATGCAACCGCAGATGCCCGCATCCATGTCTGACATGTCTGAGGAGGATGCCGGATGCGAGCGAGCGATTCGTCTCGCGCGAGCGCACGACAAGGCCTGTCGTGTTCTCACGATCATGATCAGTGAGGGTACGAACGAATGCATACCAGCAATCGTCCCTGATTGCAAACGTCACCCGTGTGTCTGTGAATGAAGGGACGGCTGGCCATGTCGAGGCGGTCGTCAATAGTGGAGCAGTGCCGCACCTCCTCGACATCATGACGGCGGACAACATGTACGCCGACAGCGGCCTGACCATCGACATCAACTTCATCGTCTCGGGTGGGCTGCGGCACCTCAAGCAGGCTGCAGCAGAGGCCATGGCCCTCCTGGCAAACAACGCATCGCAGCAACAGGTAGGTAGCGGGGGAATGGGAGAACGGATCGCAATTCTTCTTCTGCCCTGACCCGTCCATGTGTTCAGGTCGAAGGTTTGGTCGGGTATGGGTGTGTCCAGCGCCTCTGCGGCCTCCTGGACAGCACGGATGACCCCAACGTCCTCGTGGTGCTCAGCAACATACTCGAGTAAGCAGACCACTCCACAGGAGCACCACGAGTGTGTGTATATGAGTGTGTGTATGTGTCTTCAGTCATGGCAGGGACAGGCAGGTAGCCGAGAGCCTTCCCAACAACCCCTTCAGCCAGCTCATTCGAGAGGTGACTGACATAGCGACAGACAGGCGCACAGTGTGATGGTGGGCCCTCCCCCTGTGGTCATGTCTGTTTGCACACGCAGGCTGACGTTAGCATGTTGGTGGCGCTGCAGACACACGACGACCAGGACGTCGCGTTTGAGGTAGGGATGCAGATGCAGAAGCAAGAAGAGACACCGACAACAAAGTGCCTGCTTGTTGTTATGTTATGTGTTGATTGACGTAAATCAGGCAATGAATATACTATTGGACTACTTCCCCGGCCGTGTCGACACGGCTCGCTACGAGGCCGCTCGGGCCGCCCGCCAGCAAGGCCAGCAGGGCGAGGATGACGACAGCGATGGGATGGCCGATCTCGACACCGACGTGGACGACGACGATAGCGAGGGAGAGGGGGAGGGACCTGTGGAGGGGAATGGAGGCGCAGACGGCCGAGCGGAGGGATAGTCACTTAGCTGAATTCGTGGTATGCAGCAGCTATGGATGGATGGACGATAGAGGGGAGGGAGAGACGCGTAGCATAGCTGACGGCCAGACTCATGGTGTGTAGAAATGACTGCTCGCTGATGTGTCAAATGTTCATGATCACGAAGCGGGCGTGCACGTGTTTGAGCCGGGGGAGAATAATGAGACGACGAGGTGGGTGAGACACCACCCGACCTTGACAAGGGTGCAAGCGCCTGAGAGAACATATTTGCGTCGGTCGGCCTTCGTGTCTGTGTGGCGGCCGGGTGTGCCGCTCTCGGGCGTGCATGGGAGCTGCAAAAGCATACGTGGATCGGCTGAATCAATCCATAAATCAGTCCACCACGCGCAGACAGAGAGACACCACGCACACGCATCCATCCATCCATCCATCAGTCACTCTCACACGCTATCACGCACGGGCAGGACACCACGGCAGTCAGTCGACGGTCGGAGCGATAGTAATCAACACACACAGATATACAGATGGACAGACAGACGGAGACAGACAGCATAGCACAAGCGTATCGGCAAGAGAGACGGCCAGACAGACGAAGAGACAACACGTGGAGGGCACGGCACAAGGCATGTAGACCTCTAGACAGACAGATAGATAGACAGGCATAGACACATCCATCCATTCGTGCGTTCCACTTTTGGCTGCCTGTGTGCCACTGGGTCTTTTGCACTTCGGCGCCCTCACGTCTGCTGCCTCCCTCCCTCCCTCCCTCCCTCTCTCCCTTGCACTCACACAGCCGGGCCAGCGAGAAAGGGCTGGGGGTGGAGCGAGGCAGCAGTAGGGATAAGCTGACGGAAGTGCAGTTGCAAGTGTGGGCCTCTCCTGCTCTCTGTGCAATGGATGACAGGCGGATGGATGGGTGGTCTGCGTGTTGGCGATGGACGGACACATTCATTTCATTCCTGGATGTGCGTGTGGATGTTTGCATGTTCGTTGAATGAATGCCTGTGGATTGACACCAACCATACCCACCCATTCACACACGTGTGTCATTCGCTTTGTGCATCGCTGTGGGCTTCCCGAGACACAGTGCCGTCATGTCACACCGACACTGCTGACATGCAGCGGCGATGAGCCATCACGGCACCGAGAGTGAGAAGCCCACCCTTGCACACAGGCAGCAACCACACACCTGTCAGTCTCTGGCTCTTCCATTCTTTGAGCTCTCTTGGATGTTGGCCGGTCCTGGCTCATTTGACACACGGCACGCTGCCCAGTGCAAAAACACCTGGGTCCAGGCATTCCTGCAGAGGGCACGGATGTCGATCTCAAACGAGCCAGAATCGACCTCCCACACCCAACCGAACGACGATACCAACAGAGGGGTAGATAGCACGACTGTTCAGACCGCACCACATGCAGCATCCATGCATCCATCCATCCATCCGGACATACACACGACCCCCTCACGACCCCCTCGCTCGCAAGACAACAACAGAAGCACCACACAGCACACCTCTCTCCAAAGGTGTATGAGAGGTCCAAACGCATCAGTCAACAGTCGACCAGCTTAGTATGCACCTTCTTTGCTCGTCTCCGTCAATTGCATGATCCCTCTGGACACCATTAATTTCAACCAGCACACTCGCCTCGCCATACACTCTTTCTCTAGTCGTTCACTCGCCGCTTTCCCTTTCTGTCTGTCTCTTCTTCCGCAGTCTGATCTCTTCCTGCGCCTCTCTGGCCCGTCGCACACGATCTGCCTCCCTGTCAGCAGAATCGGTCGACTGAATCTCCCCCCCGCCCTCTCCACCACCCAACGACGGCAGCAGTCCATCAAACAGACCCTTCCTTGGCTCGGCTGGGGAGGTGACGGTCGGCAGCAGCGGCCGTGGCTTGGCGCTAACAATGGACTGTGCTGATGGCGGCGGGGATACGGGCAAGGGCTCATCGGGGCCGTACACGCCCGAGTCAGCGATGATGAGCTTGCGCACCGGCCTGTTGGTCACTGGCTCCACCTTCTCTTTCCCAAGCTGCTCCATCAACCCTTCTCCTCCTTGCACCCTTCCGAACGCCACGAAGCGCGAGTCGGCCCATCCGGCGTCGTCCACGAGAGTGATGAAGAAGCGGCTGTCGACCTTCTTGGTCTTGAGGTCGCGCACCATGCTCACCACACCATGGCCCGGCACCGAGTGGCGGATGCGCGTGTTTTCCTTTGGCAGCGGTGAGCCGTCGGGCTGTGCGCTGCGGCCGCTCTTGCCCGTGCCGGCCGCACCGATGTCGCCCATCTGCAGGGCATAGTCCTTTACGATCCGGTAGATAGTGCTGTTTTGGTAACTGCCCGAGCTGCACAGCTGGATAAAGTTGTCTGCCGTCTTGGGCACAATCTCGCCATAAACCGAGATGTTGAGGCGGCCCAGGAGAAGGGGAGCGCCATCAGCTGTCTTCGGCGCCTCGGCAATCTCCAACCAACAACGAGCTGTGATCCTGATGCGACAACAATGGAAGTATAGAACAATCGACGGATGTCTTGTTTGGTGTATCTTCCGCTTGTTGGCCTACTTTGGTGTGGTCTCGTTGAGAAAGACGGCGTCCGGAGACGCTGGTGCATCCTCTCTCGCCTCCGACTCATCAGCAGAGGCTGGCAATAGAGCCGTGAGAGGCACAAGGACCGTTGCAGGCACCGCCGCAGCTGCAATGGCGCTTCGCCGCGAAGCCGCATCTGCCCTCCATGAGGCGTCCTCAAGGCCCATCAGCACGCAGTGCGCAGTCGCATGATGCAAATGCAGCGGAGGACCTTTGGCAGGGCAGCACTGCGGTCGCGCACACTTCCTCTTGTCCAGTGGGAACGTCGAGAAGCGCTGATAAGCAGCCGTCAGCCAGCCGGAAGCCGTCATCAAGAGGCTGATGAAGGCGAGTGAAGCGATGAGAGTTTCCATAGATCTCGGCTCATGAGTGATGTCTGGCGTCTATGCACACCAGCCCGACACCCCTGTGCTTCATTTCGCCGACAGACGGACAAATCGCCACGCTGCGAGCTTAGCGAAGTGCGAAGTGTCAGCAATAAGGAGGCGCTTCCTCTGATCTTCGATGGATCTTGACGTGGTCGACGCGTTTGCGCCATGTGGATAACTTTCTATTTCCTCTTCCTCTACCTCACGCAAGAGTTCGACGAACTCTCGTCCATATACTTCGTCGTCGTATTATACACAGTCCTCATCTCACACTGCTTCAACGTCGACGAGATTGACGGCGGCAATGCGGCCGGGGGCGGAGCCGCATGAGTGAGGCGGGCTCGGCACACAGATCTCTTCTATATGCGACGCGGCCGGTGACTCAGAGGCTCTTACATACAACACGCGGCAGCCACGAGTGCGACGAAACCGGCGGCCTTGAGAGAGCGAGATGATTTCCCGCGGCCTCTCTCGGCCGTCCACCACCCCTCTCTTTCGCCAGATGTCCACTGCAGCGGCGAGCACAGGTGCTGCGGGAGCAGCCAGCGTGCAGATGTCGGCGCAGGGGGAGGATACGGCGGTCAAGAGGTGGCCACGGGCAGACGATGGTCCGGAGAGGGCCTCTGGCGTCATCAAGTCCGACCCGATCTTCGTGCGGCCAAACCGGCGGTTCAAGCAGAAGGTGCCCATCGTCCTCAGCACCAACGGCAAACACCTCAAGAGCACCAGGCTCGCACAAGGCAAGCAACAGAACAGAAGAGAAGACAACACAACACAACACACACATGGATGGTTCTGATATGTCTTTCTTTCTTTCTTTCTCCTCTTCTGCTGGGTGTGGTTGGCGGCTCAGATGCGCTGCTCCGGTCAGCAGCGGATATCGACTCCCCGCTGCCGTCCGAGGCCACATCCATCCCTGACCACTACGACCTCGAAACCTTCGGAGCGGGAGGGCCGCGGGCCATCCCACCACCACCACCCACAACAAAAGTGAAGGAAAGGCGTGCCGTTGTGTATGGCGACGATGGGATGGGCCGAAGCGTGTATACGGTGGTGTCGGCGCTGTGTGACGCGGCGGTGCGGCACGGTAAGACCGGCAACCGGCAGCTTTTCCAGGAGGCCATACGCAAGGCAGCGGTGAGTCGTCAGTCAGCACACGAGAGCAGAAGAGGCAGGCCGATGGATGACATGACATACATGGGCGTGACTGTCTGTCGTGTGTGTGGTGTGTCTGTCAGGCGTGTGCCCGCACTCCGCTGGAGCTCTCCCGCGTCATCCACATCCTCTCGCACCACCCACCATTCGGCCCCAACCACGCCCTGCTCCACCATCTTGTGACACGGGCGACGGAGCAATTCGAGGAGCTACCACTGAGAAGTAACCAACACGACAGACACGGAGTAGCAGATGCTCGCTCTCATGCATGATGTCATGGGGGGATGCATCACATCAATCAGGCGTCTGTCTGATCGGCAACACGCTGATCCGTTTCGACCACCCACACGCCTCCTTCCTGGCCAAACTGGCCCCTTCCCTCCCCTCCCTCCTCACCCGAGCCAACAGCACCGATCTGCCGCACCTCGTCAGCATCGCCGTCCGGTTCCAGGAGGACGTGCTGATCGATGACCCGCCCAGGAAGACACACAGAAAGGACGTGGTGGTGGTGGAAGACGGGGGAGGGGAGGAGGAGGGGAGTGGCGTGAGGATGGTTGAGAAGCGGGAGTTTTGGAAGCAGGTGGCGCGGGAGCTGAGTCGAGTTGTGGCGGAGTTGAGGCCCGAGGTGAGAGAGAGAGAGATAGTGGGTGGCACAGGCACATACATATGCATATCTGGGGAGGGCGTCTGGTGGCACAATGGTTGATTGTTCTGTGTGCATGTGAGCGGTCTGTCTCCAGGGTTATGCGTCGTTGCTGCAGTCTATACTGCGCAGCCAGGAGGGCAGACGGCACCTCATTGTGCCCATTGTGAGGAAACTCACACGGGTCAGCTCAATGAACAACACGAAAGCAAATGCATGTGCAGAGAAGGAGGAGCGGTGTCTTCCCCCTTTCTCGTGTTGGTCATGCAGGCTGGTGCGCCGAGACTGCCCACATTCAGCTCATCACAACTTGTCAATGTCGCCCTGGTACGGACCTGCCTGTGTTGGTTGCACGCACACGCCGATTGATGCGATGCATGTCTTCGGCATGTTTGCGTGTGTGGGGTGGGTGTGGTGCAGTGTCTCCAGCAGCTCGACTACCTCACCCCGGCCTTCATGCACCTGGTCCACTCGGCATCCCTCATACACACGCCCACCGCCCCGCCCCGCGACCTCGTCTCTCTCTACGCCCTCTACGTCAAAGGCCCCACACCGCCCAACTTTTTGCTGGCATCAGACCCCCATTGGAATGTCACGCAGCGCCCACCACCAGAATTCAGCAAATACAGGAGACCGCGGCCCATGAAGAGCCCGCCATTGTGGGTGGAGCTGGGCAAGAAGGTCGGTGTTGCTGGTGTGCCCGACGCCATGACCATGGAGCCCCGCACACGTGGTGGTGGGGGTGAGGTGACTGGGACGGTTGAGGGAGAGGAGGGGCCCGTGGGGATGTTCCCAAACAGCGAGCTCGACATGTCCTTCGACGTCGCCCTGGCGCGGCCAGAGTGGGTCAAGGCGTCGCTGACCGATCTGAGCGAGAGGCTCCGCGAAATGCTACCCAAATGCAGCCCAACGGACCTGGCAGAGCTGCTGCATGCCCACGTGATGCGGGGCGACCGCGACAGCCGGCTGTCGCACTCTGTTGTGGTGCACTTGATGGCGCGTCTGGGCGAGCTCTCGCCCAACTCCCTGGCCATGGTGGCCAACGACCTCACCAAGCTGAACCGCGCCATGGCCAAAGACGAGTGGATTGGGAAGATCTGCGAGGCGCTCGATGCCGCGAAGATCGGCCAACTGACGCCGGTGGTGAGGCAGGGAGGGGGAGGGGGGTGAGTGGGATCTGACCCGACAGTCACGTTGGTTGGTGCATTTTGTTGTGTTTCATTCAGGGCGTGCACAGCTTGCTGACGGCGTTTCAGCGCGCCGGCTGTGCGCCGCAATCCGTCCACAAGCCCCTCTTTCTGCTCTCACAACGGCTGGCGGCCTCCCTCCCCTCGTCGCCCCCCTTCGTGATCGCCGGATGCCTCAGCGCCCTGGCCCACCTCAGATTCACCTCCCCTGACCTCATCAACGCCCTGGTGGCTCGCGCCACAAGCCAAGCGCACCAGTTCGCCGACATTGAGACTCTCTTGCGCATGGTGGCCGGCTTGCGAATGGCGGTTGAGTCGTGTGCAGAGCCGATGGATGTCTCCCCGTTTATCGATGCTATCGCACCGGTGGCCGTGAAGAGGCTGGGGATGGACGAGGGCGCCTGGGGGCCGAATGAGGTGGCGGATTTCGTGTGTCACGTGGCGGCCTTGTGTGGGGGCGAGGGCAGGGGGTGGGGCATCGTGTGTGAGGGCGCCAAGGGGCACCTCATGAAGTGGGTGCGGCCGTATGGGGCGCGGGAGGTGTTGCGGATGATGGAGGGCATGCAGCGGGGCCGGGTGGAAGACAAAGACGTCTGGCAGACGCTATGGGACCAGGTGAGTTCCCCCCACCCCTCATGTCATGTGTCGCATGCATCACGCAACGCTTTGTTGGTGTGTCTCGTTCAGGCGCGTATCAACCTGGATGTCTTCCCGCCCCGCGATCTGCTGCTGGTGGCTTCAACACTGGCTCGACTGCGGCCGGTGTTTGGTCAGCAGAGGCGGCGATTCGGTCGCATCTCCAACGCACTCATAGCCATCCTGCAGGCCAAGAGCATTGACGACGACACCAAAGTCATCGCACAGCTGGTCAGTGAGTGGCGGAGGGAGGGAGGGAGGGAGGGAGGGAGGGGTGGGGGAACAAGGCATGCATCAATCACATAGACGAGAGGCCATCTGTGCGCGTGTGTGCGGTCAGGTCCATGTGTGGGGGTCGATGGATCTGCGGGACAACCAGCTGCTGCTCGCCCTGACGGAGGCCCTGCAGCCGCTGCCCGCCTCCTTCGACCTCGCCGACCTCTCTCGCGTGGCGTTCGGCCTCACCAAACTGGGCTTCCCACACAGCGACCTCTTCGGGCAGCTCAACGACAAAGTGAGCGTGCAACCTTGTGTGTGTGTGTGTGTGTGTGTGTCTGTTTGGCTGTGGTGATCCCTCTCTCTCCGTCTCTCCGTCTCTCCGTCTGTCTGCCTGTCTGTCTGTCTGTCTGTGTGTCTGCGTGTGTCAGACTGCCAGCCTGCTGACTCGCGTGTTCTCTCACCGTCTCCCTTTGATCCCCCTCGGTGCGTCCAGCGACCTGTCCGATATGCTGCGGCTGCTGTCGGCCCTCATTCTGTGGAACGACACCTCGCCACACACACGATCGGCGTTCATCCAGCTCCTGGATGGGATAGCGGGTCGGCAGGGCAGGGCTGCCAAAAGTGGGGGGGAGTGTCTTCGGGTGTCCTGTATAGTGGTGTGTTGTGTTGTTTGTGTGTGCAGCACATCACCGCCGTGTCCGTGCTGACGGCTCGTCGCTGCCTCTGTTGAAGCTCGCCGCGTGCAGCATGACCCACTGCCACCGCATCGAAGCCAGTCAGACCAAACCAGACAGAGATGGAGCCACGCGGGCGACATCGTGTGTGCCTGTGTCTGTGTGTGTGCGCGTGCAGGTGACGTCTCTCCATCCACTCTGCCCCTCTACCATTTCCTCACCTCACTGCTCGAGCCGCAAGCAGAACCACCACCACCACCAGCACCGGCACCAGCCCTCCCTCCCACTGCTGATCTGACGGAGGTTGACACCGCCGATGAGCTCAGTGAGGGTGGGTGTGAGGGCGGTCGTGGCGAGAGGGCCCTGAATGCGCTGGAGAGGGATGTGTGGAAACACTTGGAGATGCTCGCCAACCACCGCATCGCCAAGACCATGGTCAGCCAGCACAGCCCGGGGTGCGTTCGTGGATGGATGCATTGAGTGCTGGTCATTGTCTCTCTCTCCATCTCTTCCTCTCTGCTGTGTGTGTGTGTGTGTGTGTGTGTGTGTGTCAGTATCTGGTTCCTTCTTTGCTGGTGGATGCGGCGCCCTTCGTCGTACACATCGCAGACACGCACTACAAAGTGGTCATCGAGGTCAGACTGACTGACCAACGCACAACAGATGTACATCCACACACATGTAATATGGGCTCCGTACCCTGTTTGTGTGTGTGTGTGTGTGTGTGTGTAGGTCGGTCTGCCCAACGACTTCTACACAGAGATGGACGGCACTCAGATAGAATGGTCAGTCAGTCACCCAACACCCACCCACCCACCCACCCACCCACCCATCGCCACACAGAACCAAATCAGACCTCCTCTCTCTCTCTCTCCCTCAGGACGGCCTGGTCACGAGCGCGCCACCGCCTCCTGAGAGCCATGGGGTGGCACGTGGCGCTCGTCCCCTACTTTGACTGGGAGCCTCTGCGCAGCGAACACGAGAAGATGCACTTCCTCCGCAGACAGATCGGCCGCGCAATGGCCGAGAGTGAGGGGGGCGGGGCAAGGGAGGCCGACGGGCGGGAGCTTTTGCCGGTGACGGCCGACCATGGCAGAGACAGCGTGTTTGCACTGGTGTCTCAGTGAACACGCTGCTCTCTGGGTGGGTGGGTGAAGGGGCTGTCTTCTCCGTGTGTGTGTGTGTGACGGGAGGCTAGCCGGCCAGTACGGCGTGTGTGTTCTGGCGTGGTCTGTGTACGTCTGACAAGGGGGTGCTGCCACCATAGGCAGGATTTCTCCATGTCACGAAGGCACAGATGACGGCGGAACACACCGAGGCTGCTGGCGGAGATAGTAGACTGAGGAAGGAATTGAAGACGTGCAGGCCCACGTCTACAGCAGAAAATCAATCATTCCAGATGGCGCGTGTGGCATGGAAACACTGCGTGCGCGGCAGTAGCAGGGTTCGGTCCACAGGGTTTCAAACCCTACACATTCCTCCAGGGCAATTTTCCCTGTTCGCTGCGAACTCCACCACCATGTTTTTCGGTAAGACAACCCAACCGCGAAATACCCCAGATCGCGGCAAAGGGGATTCATCGACGCATGAGGGGGTCTGGTCTCGCTGAGCATTCTGGTGCGTTGCGGGTGTGTGTGGTGTGATATGATGTGATGTGATGCGGTGTGATGCAGGCGCGATAGTGAAGCCTGACGAGCCCGTGCCTCTGGAGAACCTGCTGGGGGACATCCTCCACCTCTCGTCGGTGAGTGAACACGACAGAAGAGCCGGGGAGGCGGGGGAGGCGGGGGAGGGGAACGGAACGCACCCACGGTGACGGTGGTGGCATCTGTAGGGAGTGCATTCATTCTCGGTGCATCCCTGCATCCATATGTGTGTGTGTGTGTAGGCGTGTTTGGGTGATGGCAGCGGCAAGGCGACGCTTCAGGTCCTCACGCCCCACGACCAGGTCAAGTACAACGTCTGCAGCCTCGAGAAGGGCAAGGTACGTCCGTCCACCAGCAACCCCTTTCACATCACATTTCTCCCTCCCTCTCTCCCTGGTCATATCTTCTTTCAGTGTGAGTCGACGTCGTTCGACCTGTTTTTGGACGTGGGCATGCGCGAGTTGAGCCTGACGGTGAGCGGCAAGGTGCCGGTGCACGTGACGGGCTACTACGAGCCGGACTTCGACGAATTCGACGAGGATGAGGATGAAGACGAGGACGAACTCATGGGCAACATCAGCGCTGTGAGGGCACTGGCACATTTGGTGGGAGGGTGGGTGGTGTGGACGGCTCGCTCTCTCTCTCTCTCTGTCTGCGTGTGTGTGTGTGTGTGTGTGTGTGTCAGCGGCAGCGTGCCCTTCACGACGAGGACGAGGATGAAGAAGAGGACGAGGAGGAAGGTAAGAGCTTCCACGCAGACAGACAGACAGACAGAAACAAACAAACGATGTGGAATGCAATGCGTGGATTCACTCTCTCCCTGTTCTATTGTGGGTGTTGTCGGGTGGAATGGTATCAGCTCCGATGTTGGTGGATGCTGCTGCCAAGGCCAAGGCCAAGGCCAAGGCCAAGTCCAAGGCTGCACCCAAGCCAAAGGCCAAGGTCGCCGCAACGAAGGCCATGGCCAAGGCCAAGGCCAAGGCGAAAGGTCAGTCAGTGGGTGACATCACACGACAACATGCCATCCATGTGTGTATGTGTGTGTGTATCAGCGGCCGACATGGTGGTGGCTGGCGGGGATGAGGATGATGACGAGGAAGACGATGATGACGACGTTCAGGACGAGGAGGGTGAGGCAGCAACCACACACACACACGTGGACCAGCATTGAATCACACACGTGTGTGTGTGTGTGTGTGTGTGCGTGATTGTTTCTGCCAGCGCTCCGCGCCCAGCTGCGCAAGTTTGGTATGACAGACGCCGAGATCGACGAGGAACTCGCAAAGGGTAGATAGACGAGCTGACGCGGCAACCGACTGACTGAATGCCCAAAGCACATTGCCCTGTCCGTCTGTGTGTGGTGTCTATGTGTGTTTGTGATTTGGACATCAGCTGGGGAGGAGGACGACGAAGAAGAGGATGAGGATGAGGAGGATGAGGAGGGCGAGGGCGAGGAGGGCGACAAGTCTGCCGGCAAGGGTGGGCGAGTCAGTGAGGCCACGCGCGTCCACATCAATACATTGGTCTCTGCGGTTGGCGTCTCGTGTCTCGTGTGTTGTGTGTGAGTGTAGGCAAAGCAGTGCCGAAGGCCAAGCAGGGCGCCAAGCCCAAGCCAAAGGCCAAACAGGGCGGCAAACGCGCATCATCCGCCGCACAGGAAGGATCTTCTAAGAAAGGTATGGACACAGACAGACAGACAGACAGACAGCCAGACGGACAGACGGACAGCGAAGCGTGCGAACGTCTTACGGCTTCCCTGTCTCTTTGTGTGTGCGTGTTTGGCTTTCAGCCAAGGTTGGTGGCAAGGGCGGCAAGGGCAAGAACTGACTCAACCAGCAGCCAGACCACAAGTGATGATTGAGGGATGGATGGATGGAGAGGGAGGGTGCAGCCAGGCAGCCAACACCGATGTTCGACAAGACACCCGGACTCCCTCCCTACTTGACTGCTCTGCATGCCACACACATCCAGCCATGGTCTGTCTGTCTGTCTACCGTTTTGCTTTGTTGCCGTCCGTCCGTCTAAGAAACAGGTCTGTCTGCCTCCATCCGTGCGTGCATCAGTGTGGCCGCCTGTGTGTCTGTGTGAGTCATGATGTTCTTTCATCCAGCCAGCCCCATCGTTTTTCTCCCGTCCACCGACCCACTCACCCCCACCATTCACCCGTCCATCCATCCATCCATCTTGATGTGTCTGTCAATGTGTCTGTGTGCGCCAGGTAATTGGCTAAGTGGGCAGCATGTCTGTGGGTGGCGGGTGAAGAGCCTGCCTTGCACGATGTCTGTCTGTGTGTTGCCCGTCGTTTGGTACCAAGGAAGGTTAGGGAGGGAGGGAGGTTTAAGAGAGCGACTGACACTAGGAAGGAAGAGGGAACTGACTGAGTGGCCTTCAGGACTGACCTTCACATCCACACACGACAATCCGATCAACGCTCAATGCCACGCGTATCGTCCGTCGTCCGTCGGTCGCTAAGAGATTTCTCACTCTCACATTAATTGGCTAGGATCTACACACGCTGACTGATCTACAGACAGACAGACAAACAGACAAGCTGACTGACCTAAATCGGTCTCTCCCACCCACCCCACCCACCCGACCGCCAATTCCTCTCTCTCTCTCTCTCACTTTTCACAAACAGAGAAAACATCTCTTGATTGAGTCTGACGCCACACCCTACTAGAACTGACCCCCCAGACGACCAAACCACCACGCGACTAACCAAGAAACGCACAGCAAGCACCAACAAACGGTCAAAACCCTGCCCGCCTGCAATGCCAGCAATGCCCACACACAGCAGTGTGGCATAGCTTAGCGAAGGGTAGCAATGGGACATCCACACACGTGATTCAGACGTCCAACCAATTCCACCTCCTTCACCAATTGGACCGCTCCTCGCACCGCCTCCCCTCCCTGGCGCTCAGCACCTGCCCACAGTCGAGCTGCACCCTGCTGCCCAGCATCACTCCCTGCCTCTCATTATTCCACTTCCCCCGCCCAATCCCGAAAAGCAGGTGCATGCTCAGCACCATCCGCAGCTGCTGCATCCCGTCGCCGAGCTTCTTGTTGACCGCCCCCTGCACACGCACCTTCAGAGGGCCCCGATGCGCTTGGGTCGGTGGGCGGGACAGATAGGCGAGGGGGGCGGGAGGGGGCGTGATGACCGTCATGTGATCTTCCTGGTCGTGAGAACGGTACGTCTCGCCGGTGGCGGGGTCGGTCACAAGCAATGTGTCGCAGTCCATGCAGAGAGCTGGCACGGACGAAGGAGCGATGTCATCTTCTTCTTGTCCGTGATGATGGCCAAGATGCGGGAAGAGGGTCGGGTGGCCGCCGAGAGAGTTGAGGTTGCTCGTGGCGGGCAGCTGCGGCAGCAGCTGGGGCGTGTCGTATCTCACCGGGGGCTCCTTCTCCTTCTTGGCAAGTAAGGTCTCCGGCTGTTTCTGCTGCTGCTGCTGCTGCTGCTGCTGTTGCTGTTGTTGTTTCCTCTGGTCCTTGCTGCTTTCGTCTCTTTTGTCCTCTTTGTGCTTCTGTGCGGGCTGGGGAAGGGGCGGCTGCTGTCGCCGTGGTGTCTCTTGCGTCGGCTGCCGCGCGCACGTGGTGGGGCGGCACTGGTTCTGGCACTGGTTCTTGTTGTTGGCTTGATCGGCTGTGGCCATCGTGCCCTTGTTGGGTGGCCGGGATGATGAGAGCCCCAGCAGCTCGCCTGTGGTCTTTGCCGGCGTCATGGCGCTGTCCGTGTAATTGGGGTTGAGGCGCTTGCTGGCCTGGAGGGCCTCCTTCGACACCTCATAAACCTTCTCGCCACGGTCATTGAAGACCTACGGTCACACACACACACACACACACATATGGCACAAACATGCCTACCTAGGCGGTCTTTGACGCCTCACTCACCTTGCCGTCAGGGGTCATCTTGAAGTTGCCGAATGAGAACTTGTGTGTCACGCCCGCCTCACTGGTCGCGGCAGCCAGTTTCGCCAAGGCCTGCTCGAGTTCCTTGCCCAGCCCAGTGATGGAAGTGCGCTGTCCGGGTGCCATGCCGGCCCCGTTGCCAATCGCGGTGAGCTTGCCCTCGAACAGCTGCTTGAACATCGCATTCTGCCCCCTCTTGTCTTCAAGGATGGTCTGGAAGGTGGCCGTCTGGGCCTGTCGGGCGTGGAGCTGTGTTTGCTGCTGTTTGGTGAGGAGGGAGGGCAGGGCCTTGGACTGGGAGAGCGTGAAGCTGTCGAGGTTCGTCAGGGCCCCTGTGTTCATCATCGCGTCGCTTATCTTGGCGGTGCCCTGGGGCCGAGGGCTGAACGAGATGCCGCATTGTTGCGCACACAGGGCCGTCCAGGGGAGGGTCAGGGCCACCCACACAAACATTTCTATCTCTCCCGAAGGCCGGTGCCTGGACTTCTATTTCGTTCTGGTTAGCGCGCCACCGACTGCTGGTCTGGAGGAATAGGACTTAGAAGTTCTCGGCACGCGACGCCAACCTCCTTGTCACGCGCGCATCTGTGCGACGGTTCTCTTCCTGTTTGCACGATGAGTGCTCTCGAGCCGTCAGTGAGTGTACGGTTCGCAGGCGATGGCGAGGCAGAGCCGCCTGTGGTCGTAAAGGAGAGTGTCGCCCGGCAGTTCAAGTATTTCCAGCGGGTTAGACACACAGCACCAGACACAGCAGATCAGAAATGCCCGTGACCGTCCCTCATCTGTGTGTCGACGCAGGTTCTTCATGGCGAGTTCCAAGAGGGTCAACAGCGTCAGATTTGCATCGAAGGGATCACTCGAGCCACCGGGCTGGTGGTGCTGCAGCGAGAGCTGGACATCGTCAAGTCGCTGACCAAGGACAACCTCCTGGATGCAATGATCGCCCTCGACTACCTGCAGTTCGAGACCTACAAGATCTTCACGCCCCGCAGCAGCCAAAGTCTGCTGTGGCGCATACACAGACAGGTCAGAGCGGAAATGGGAGGGTCGTCTGGGCTGCCGCTTGATGCATTATTGGGTATGTTGTGTGTTGCAGATGGTGTTGGAGGGGTGGCTCCGTGACCATCAGCTGGCCAACAGCCTGCTGGACAGCTTCAGTCGCTACGCCTTCATCGCTCGTTTCATCCATCAGCACAATGACATTCGCACGGGTCTGCTGCCGGCACTGCTCAAGAAGCCTGACATCACCCAAGCTCAATGGCGTAGGTGTGAGGGTGGGAATGACGACACGGACGACGCTATCAGGGCGGCCATCAGCCTGGCCGGCAGTTTGGTGGATGAGCTGTCCCATGACCGCGTCATCGATATGAGCCACCAAGTCGCCCGGTTCATCACGGACGCAACAGGGAGCTCATCACTCGCTGCGGCACTGGGTAAGAAGGACGACAGTGAACTGCAGTGGGGAGGCCAGATCATGCCTTTGTTGTTGTGGCTTGATTGATGCAGCGGCTGCCTTCGAGACGGATGTGTTCACTGTCTCACCTTCCCTGGAAAGAACAAGAGCTTTTCCCAGCATCCCTTCGCCAACAACCAGCAGGGAACCGTCATGTGGCTTGGGCTCTCGTTCACAGTCGTGGGCCTTCCCCATCCCTACACCCCTCCCCCCCCTCGCGCACCCAACACACCCCCATCGTTTGCAGGCGTGCCTGCCAACGCCATCCGCGACGGAGATGCGAGAATTGCCGACGTTGCCGGTTGGTACGTCGTTTTTGGAACGAATGATGGCACCGATCCAGTGTCGTCCGTGACGTGCTTCGCTCCTGACGCCTCTCTGGCAATCCCCTGTGGTGCTGACAGTGGCGACGGCACAGCAGCAGCGGCGCGAACAGCAGAGAGCGGCGATGATGCCACCTAGAAGGCCATTCAACTGCATAAGGCGCCCACAATGATGGGGGGCGGGCCCATGCAGACCCCTGGCGGGCCCATGCAGACCCCTGTGATCAGTATTTTGCGGTTTGAATTCGTCCCCTCAACTGGCCCCTTCCAGTTTCAGCTGTTTCAGAGACCGTCACGGTGGGAGATCAGTGGGTGTGTGCGCAACATCTCGGCTGAGAAGCTCGCCCAGCAAGGAGAGGGAGAGGCGCGGCTCAAGGACATTGAGATGACGATGACGCTGCGACACTTCCCCATGCGCGCCCTCGCCTTGCACTACTTGCGGCTGTGCGCCAAGGAGGGGCGGTGGGACGGCGTGACACACATGGCCAAGTGAGCAAACAATGGACAAACATGCACATGGTGGTGTTGTCTGTCCATGTGTGCAGGTCGATTCATTCTACGGTCGCTGAGGGCATGCTCCTGCCACTGTCTGAGGTTCGCCACTATCGCCTTCCATTGGCGCTGTTCTGGGCGTCGGCGCTCGGCAATCTGGCGGGGGTTTGTACCGATGGTGTCTTGTCGAGGCTGACGGCCGACTTCATTCGACGAAATCCTGACGACGTGGCTGCCATCCTTCCCCTCATCTCCACCCTGCCCCCCGCAGTGCAGACAGCCTTTAAGAACACCCTCAAGAACGCAATCAATCCGGAGGACGAGGAGACCTTCGCCACGCTTCACAATGCTCTGATCAAGGTGGGCCGACCCTTGTTCTAGTCGTCCCACGGCGAACGTCTGTGTCTTTTTTCCACAGGAGGCAGGGGACCGGCGGCGTTTGGAGGCCGAAATCGAAGACCTCCGTCGAGAAAATGCCACGCTCAATGAAGAGGTAGGCAATTCACAAGCAGTTGCTCAGTGGATTGTTGGTGTCTGTTGTCGTCTGTCACTCAGGTGCGTCGCTCGATGGAGGGCCAGCAGCAGCGGCAGCAATAGGCAGCCGGGGATTTATATGAGGAGGGACGTGTGGGGCGCATTTTTTGTGACGTCGTGGAGGAGAGGAGAGAGAAGGATTTCGGTGCTTGCCTTGCTAGTGATACCTTGACACTACGCATTGAAGGCCTTTAGTGATGATGTGTGAGTCGTTGAGACCAAAGGGCAGTGAAACTCTGGTTGGCGTGCATATGGATCCAATCAACCACACGACAGTCAGGTCAGTCAGGGGGGCAGTCAGGCACATTCGTGCGCAGAGAGGCAGAGAGAGAGAGGGATAAACCGAGACAGACAAACAGGCGGGCAGGCAGACAGGTCCATCCATCCATCCATCCACAGGACACGCAGACCACAGCACATATACACAGCAGCAGCAGCAGCAGCAACCATTCCCCGCTCGTCTGTCTGTCTGTCTGTCTGTCTGTCGACCATCGACTAAATTCCACAATGCATCCCATCTGGACATCTGTCAATGTCTCCAGCTACACACAAAGATACGAGAGTTGATGTGTGTACGCTGTCCTCGAGACCAACTCCGCCGGATCTTGCTGCATGCCTCTCTGGCTGCGTCCATCCTCCACGAGCCAGACAGCACGCACACACAGGCCGGCCAGCCGGCTGGCGCTCGATAGAAATCAACCAACGAATCAACCATACCATGACGACACCCCACGACTGACAGACGGACAGACGGACACGCGACGCGACCCTCTCTCCTCCTTTCTCGGCACACACACACACACACACACATGCATACCGACAAACAAACACCCCCATTTGCCAGCACGGCACGAGAGAGACATCGGTCCAAGGGAGAGAGGCGGGCACACTTCACTTGACAGGCGCACAGCCGGACGGGGCGGACAGGTCAGGGAGGCGGGCAGGAGTGGACGGCCACGGCAAACAGAGAGAGAGAGGGGG